AGAGAGAGAGAAACATCCTGTATTGGCTTATCTGGGGGTTAGTGCTTGTTTGTATATACTAGTGGTGGGAATCATTAACCAATGCGAGAAAAGATACTCTATATTGGGTTACCTGAAGGTTAATGCTTGAAGAACAGATCCATCACTCAACTGAGCCAGACTAGTATGCTCTTGTAATTATTTAAAAATGTCTATTTTTTGTACACCTGTTTTTTTTAAAAAAAGCAGCTTTGGTCTTTTTGAAAGGGTTTGAAATCTCATTCTGTTTGATCATAATTCTTTTTTTTCTTTTGAACTTGACCAACTCTATTGCGACTCCCACACTCGTTTTAAGTTAAATTCTATATGCTTTGTGATTCAGGAGGATGTCAGTGGACCACCTTGCTGCTGTTTTTTCAAAGAAGTGTGGATTTATATTCTCCTGGTTAACCTGGTTTAAGTTCCCCTCTTCAGAATTTATTCTGAAATTCAAACTAGTTGTTTGTCTATATACCAATCTTCACTTCATCTAGAATTTGTAAAGCGTTTCAAAATATTTTATGCGAAAGGTGCTAGAAGGTGCTGTGCTATAACACATCCACATTTAACCAGGTCTGCTTGTAGTACGGCTGTTACGTGGACCCACATTTTATGGGAGTGCAGTGCAATTCAGGTTTTGGCACTGATCTGACAGTTTACTTTGCATATTGTGGATTCTTTCTATGTCCAGGAAGTGCCATTAAAGTAACATCCTGTGTAAAAAGTGTCAAACTGAATCACGTGGTAGCATTCTCACCTATGAATCAGAAGATTGGGTTCAATAATATAATAATAGTCATAATCAATCTCTGGCAAAAGTAGTTGCTGCTTCCCATGCAAAATACAGTCATTGAGGTTTACCGTATATCCTGTGAAGCACTTGAGACATCTTCCAAATGTGAAAGTTGCTATATCAAATGAATAGATTATCGTGCATGTCTGTTATGAAGTGTCGCCAATTCACTTTGCGAAGGAAATAAAAATGCTGATTAGTATTTTTTTTAGAGTAGTCTTGAGTTTTTGAACCCAAACCATTTATAACCACTTAATCAAGCAAATAATGACTCTTCAATGAAGGAGATTAGACTACTTTTGCTCCTGGTGATTGTAATCGATCTCTATATAAATGCAAATTATTATAATATCCAAAAGACTGAGATACATTTCTTGTGTAATCTTTCAGCACACCTACAAACCTGAAATAGAAAGGGTGACATTTCAGCTGGAATCCATGAGGAAATAACTAGAGCTGGAAGCAAATTCTAAGATGAGAAATATGGTTGTGAAAACAGACTTTAGTAAAATATACAATTGTAAACAAGAAAAGTATAAGACAATAACAGAGACAAAAAGATGGACAAAGAGAAGCACACAATAGAGTTTTCAGAACTGACATCCCTGAACATTTTGATACACGGCTATGTTCAAATCATTAACCTATTTTGCTCTTTCAACTTGTTAAGATTTTCAGAATCATTGTCCAATGAGGTTACATTTTATAAAGCAGATTCTGATTAAGAAAAGTGAAAAGCTATGGTACAGAAAATGTAGAATAAATCTGAAGAAAATGTTCTGTGAGTAGCTAAATTGAAAGGACTTCAAACCTTATCAAAGATGACATGAGCAAAAATAATTGGGAGGAAGGGAAGGACACATTAGAAGGTGGAGGTAAAACATAAGATGAGGAAGAAAGATGTGCAGAAAATCTTAAGAGCAGGAATAGCTGCAGATTTGAGAAGAAAAGGCAATCAGCCAAAATGCTTCTCTAGTTCTTTATGAATGCCAGAGATGGATTCGTGATGTGTGTGTCTACTCTGTCACTTAGCTTAAGTGTACCTCACGCTTTTAGGCTTTAATATTTAATTCACCACAATTCAGATGGGAAAGAGAGAAAAAATTCTGGTTATCAAATTGCATTAACCGTCTGAGGCAGCTGTGTCTTTGCATAATTTATTATAATCAAGCGTTCTATTTTGACTGCCTGTGCAAACACTGCACCATCTGTATTATGAAGCAGTGAACCTTTCATTACCAGTAGTTTTTGTACTTATTATATCTTGAATTTTTACTATTTAAATTAATTGATTTGTGTTTTCTTTAAAAATTCGGCCACCATGCTGGATAAAAAAAACTAAGGAATTCACAGTATTTTTGAAGGTATTTTATTTTTCTATTTCTTATAAACAACTTTATTAGTTGGTTATAAGAAATAATGACTTTTCAATGAAGATTAGACACTTTTGCTTTTGGTGATCATGCTATGCCTTATTATACAGTTTTGTCACAGTAATTACTCAAAACATGTTTTTAGTAACATGTTCTCCCTGTCTAACTATTTATCATTAGCTTGTCAATCTGTGTCTGCTTTCTGGAAATATGCAAGCAGGCTGTGAACCTCCGTGGAGAGAGTATGCAAACCATGCCAGACAAAGGGAAATTTTCATGTGTATTCTTTTATGGTTCAGTACATTCTTATGTTCTTAGATTTCAGAAGGTAAGCGCGGATCTCCTTGGATATGAGCCACTTGCAAGGTGGCAGACTTACCAATAGATTGCTGAAATTGAGTCAACGCTCTGTGGTGGTCTGAATGTGCGCTCCATTCCAGATACAGGGAAATGTCCACGTGTACAAATGTGGAACTCTGGTTTGGATACCAGCTTAGTGATTGTTTTCTGTGTGTAATAATAATAATAATAATAATAATAATAATAATCCTTGCATTTGATATAGCGCTTTTCATGTCGGGAGGACGTCCCAAAGCGCTTCACAGAACACACTGTAAAGTGAATTGACAGTATATTTGTGGGCGAACGCGGCAGCCAATTGCGCACAGCAATCTCCCACAAACAGTCGTAGATTGACAATGACCAATTTATTATTGTTTTGGGTTTTGGAGGGATTATTATTAGGCTCTGTGTGGAGTAAGGAAACTTGCCGAAGGGTTTCCCCCTTCCTGGAATTGAACTCAGGTCTCTCACTTCCAAAGCGAGTGCTCTAACCACTGAGCTACAGGACTCCACAAGACTCCTGGTGTATCAGATCTAGCTGACCAAGAAAAATAATTAGTGGTACTCGATATTTTCTGTCTTGCTTACATTCACTTTGATGCATTTATTCTCGATGCTTAAGCGTATCCAATGCAGGCTGGGTGTTCCACAAATGCATACCACCTACACACACAAATTGCCCTGTGATTTAATCTGAATTCTTCCTGGTCTGTGTTACTTATAATCATAGGTAGGCTTTTGTACATTTATTCACTGAACCATTGGAGCATCCCTAATTAGATATGATTTGTGTATTCAACCATTTTACCCAGGACCATCTAAATTCTAAAGGATTTTTATTCTTTAAATTAACCCTAAATATTTTATGATTTGATAGAGTAGCATTTACTTCATGTGCAAAATAATCCATTGCACAAAGCGCTGAAATGTTTACAAAAATCTCACCCTACCTGTCTTTTTCAGGCCTAACGGGTGTAATTTGTGTTAATTGGCACTCTGACTCAGGATTTTCTACCTACTGTATAGCCCATTAATTTGGCAGTCAATATATATATATATTATAAAAATATACACTTCATAGGAATGTATTGCGATATGTTGCACCATTCTCATTTACATTTTTAGTTGAAAAGTTAATGTCTGATTGAAGTAATGTTTTCATTAACCCATTGAAGGACATAAATTAGACCAGGATAATTTATTATATGTAAGGTTTAGTTTTTATAGATTAATCAAATTGAAAAAAACCTGGTAACTACTAAATGACCAGAGTGATTAATGTAATTCAGCAATTTTTCAAAAGGGATATATTTTCATGTGAAAACCCATCAACCGATGTCATTGTCTGGAAGGGAGGGCCACACCCTGCTTTATGTAATCCCAGATGGCATTTGACACAAATTAGCATGAGCCAAGGTTTCAGAACCCCAGAGTGTGGATTGGATTAAACTCTCACCAATAACCAGCTAAAAACACATAGCTTGCCATACAGAGAGCACTGTCTGCCAAGTTTGCAGTTTGTACTTGTTCAGTTTGGACCACCCTTTCTGTTAGAGCTTTGGCTTGCAGGGTTAACAGGAGCTGAATCCCTGCAAGTCCTCCTGAAAGCCAGGCTGGCTGGTTTGTCATCATCAGTGCCTTGGTACTCCTGCAGACCTACTTGGCTCAGGAGTCGAATCAAACTACAGAGACTGCCAGAGAGCATTGACTCAATTCTGACATTCTGTTTGAAGCGTGACATGTTGGAGCCAGCTTAGCTCAAGGTGAGATCCTACTTGCCTTTGCTCCTTTCCGCCACCACTCCCCTGATGAGGATAGTAGAAAATATTTTACAATGACAGTCTCTCATTCCAAATCAAACAGAGCAAACTTTGGCAGCCAATTTCACGCAAATCATGCACATTTCTAACTTTGCTGTAAACAAAATTATTCAGAGGCATTTCCGATTTAAGCAAACACTCAGATGAGACATTAAACCGAGGTCCCGTTTGCCCGTTCAGATGGATATTGAAGATCCCATGGCACTATTCAAAAAGAGAAGGGAGTTTCTTCTGGTGTTCTGGCCAACAATCCCCCAAATAAAATTGGTCATTCATTTCATGGTCGTTTGTGGGAGCAATTGTGCTACCACGTTTGCTTGCAAATAAACAGTCACTCCATTTCACAGTAAATATTTTGAAGCATTTTGGGACGTTCTTCTGACGTGCTATGGCATTATACCAAATGCAAGGATTATTATTATGTTGTTATTATGATGGAGTCTGATCTCCTGAATGCAGAGGCAACAGGAAATCCAATTTTAGTAGGCTTTTTAGAAATCCAGTGCTGGGAAACCTTTTCAGGTTAGGAGTTGGCTTCAGACGCGGGGTTACCTCAGGGTGCACAATTACAATGCAAAAGAGACGTCAAAGAAAATGATGTGATTATGTTTTCTTCACTGCAGTTCACGACCTTTCTTTCCCTTATTGCAATAGGTTCCGAGTCCTGAGGAATTGTACCACAGTGAAAATGAGACGATGATTCCAGTACTGTCATCGAAAAGAGCAAGTGAACTACCAGTCGATGAAGTTGCCAGCATTTTGCAGGTAAGATATACATCAACAACAACAACAAAATTACATTTATTGAGCGGCTTTCACATCAGGAGGACATCCCAAAGCGCTGAACAGTCAGGTGTTGGGGCCCGAGCGTGGGGGAGGGGTGGTGTAGGGGTGAGGGAAGGCAGAGAGGTGGGAGGAAGACCAAAGGCACGGTCGAAGAGAAGGGTCTTGAGACCGGCCTTAAAGAAGGCAAAGGAGGAAGCGAGGTGAAGTGACTGTGGGATGGAGTTCCAGAGTGTGGGGGCAGAGAGGCTGAAAGCCCGGCCACCGATGGTTGGGTGGGAGACATGGAGCAGGCCGAAGCCCGCTGAACGGAGGGAGCGGGCAGGTTGGTAGGGAGTCAGAGGGGACAAGGTCATGGATTGGCCTTAAAGGTGAGGACGAGGATCTTGAACTCGATCCTCTGGGGGATGGGGGGCCAGTAGAGTCGGGCGAGGGTGGGATTGCTGGGGTCACGGAGCCTGGTGTATGAGAGTACACGAGCTGCAGAGTTTTGGATGATCTGCAGCTTGTGAAGGGAAGAGTTGGGAAGGCCGATGAGGAGGGAGTTCCCTTAATCGAGCTTTGATGTGACGAATGCGTGGGTGAGGGTTTCTGCAGCCTGAGGGGTGAGGCAGTGGTGGAGTCTGGCAATGTGGCGGAGGTGGTGGTAGGCAATGCCGGTCATGGCGTGGATGTGGGGGAGAAAGGACAGTTCAGGGTCAAACAAGGTACCCAGGTTCCTGACTGGCTCAGTGAGGTTGAGTGTGCAGCCGTGGAGGCTGATGCTGCCAGCGCCTGAGGGGTGGAGATGCTGGCGCGAGCCATTCAGGAGGGCCTCAGTCTTGCTGACATTGAGTTGGAGAAAGTTAGCTCTCATCTCGGGCTTGATGTCTGACAGACAATCTGTCAGGACGCCAGCAGTCCTGGAGTTCAGGGTGAGGCAGAGAGATGAGTTGGGTGTCCTCCGCATACATGTGGAAATTTACCCCATGTTTGCGGATGATGTCACCAAGGGGGAGCATGTAGAGGGTGAAGAGGAGGGGACCGAGGACAGAGCCCTGAGGAACGTCGCACGAGACATTGGGGGGCTGGAGGAGAAGCCGTTTGCCGCGACGAAGTGGAGGAGTGTGAAAGATAGGACCTGAACCAGTAAGGACAGAACCTTGAAGGTTGAGGTGGGAGGAGAGGTGGTGGAGGAGGATTGAGTGGTCCACGGTGTCAAAGGTGGTGGAGAGGTCGAGGAGGCAGAGTGAGCCCTGGTCACACATGGTCAGGATGTCGTTTGTGACCTTGACCAGAGCATTTTCCATGCTGTGTGCAGCACGGAAACCCGATTGGAGGAGTTCATGGTGGGAGGGAGAGGAGAGGAAAGAGCGAAGCTGGGAGGTAACGACTCTCTCAAGGACCTTGGATAGGAAGGGGAGATTTGAGATGGGCCGGTAGCTGGATAGCTGTGATGGGTCAAGGGAAGGTTTCTTCAAGGTGGGGGTGATAGTGGCTGTTTTGAGTGGGGGGAGGAACAGTGCCAGATGACAGGGAGATGTTAATGATGTCAGCGAGTAGTGGGGCAAGGAGGTGGAGTTGGGATTTAAGAAGAGGGGTGGGGATGGGGTCTAAGGAACAGGTGGTGGGCTTCATGGAGGTTACCGTGTTGAAGACAGAGGAGGGGGTGACAGGTTCAAAGTTGTGGAAGGAGGGATGGGTAATTGTCGGATGGGTAGTTGTGTGAGGTGGGGGTAGGGAGGGGGTGGAAGTTGGGAGGGCAGTGGCAGCTGAATGGATTCCCTCGATTTTGGACTTGAGGAAGTCCAGCATTTTCTCGCAGTGAGAGTCAGCGGAAGGTATCTGCGAGGCGTGACTGATGGACATGACTGACATTGTGGGAACATTTAGGCAGCGATGTTGGCATTAGATTTTTTTAATTTGGTAAAGTATGCTGTAGTAATTGGTTCTTCATTCATGCTTCACATTCAGGTTCAATTATTCTAATGCCCTGCTTGCCAGACTCCCAAGCTCCTTACCCAAACTACAGATAATCCAGAAATCTGCAATCCATATTCTCTCTCACGACAGACTCCACAAGCCCATCACCTCCATTCTGCTCAGCTCCGATGACTCCCCATTCCCCCAATGAATCAAATTCAAGATCCTTATCCACACTTTTAAATCCCTCCATGGCCTCTATGTTTGTAACCTCCTGCAATCCTACCACGCTGGCCGTCCAGCCCCCACACTCAGCAACAACAACAAATTACACTTGTATAGGGTCTTTCACGTTGGAAGGACATCCCAAGGCACTTGCTGATCGTGGAGTGTCTTAGGTACCCAATACGCTCCACCACCAGTGGGTGAGCTTTCAATTATACCCTGTGGTTTATCTGTTCCAGACATTCCAGTTAAATTGCTGCACTTACAATTGCAGATGATATTGTGCTCCCGGTGGATGGATCTTGGGCGCTGCAGTCACCATCTTGAACACATCTATAAAATACACAGTCACTATACTTTTCAGTTTTTGCTGTTGATGGGCAAAGCAGAAAGTGACATCATTGGTGATCCAACAAACCCATTTTAGCTGCTTAGTGCTTTTTTAAAAAATTGCCAACTAAAAATGGTCAATCTGGTGCCAATGATCTCGCTTCCTAATTTGAGCATTCAGAGCATGGTCAGTGACCTAATGACTCACAAGTCGGCCATTTTCATTTAAGCAGGGCAACCAGTTGGCACTCAGGCCATAAGCCAATCATCTGCGTACTTTTGCATTGAAATCGCGCCTTAATGTAGGATTGCATTGGTGTATAGTATATGCTGTAGTATAGAAAATGCTGATGGTCCAATGCAGTGCTGGAAGAGAATTGCATTGTTAAAGTAGCTGTGCTTCAAGGAGATATTAAAGCAAGGTCCTGTCTGCCTGTTCAGGTAGACGATAAAGATCCCATAACACTATTTGAAAAGAGAAGAGGTTTTGGTTAGCACTCCTCTACTTTAAGATCTTTTACATAAGGAACTATTTCAAATGCAAAAAATATTAAATCATACTGTTTCTACTACACTTCGCAAATAGCTTTTATATAATAATTTAAAATCTAAAGCAACCTTTTGAAATATCAGCAGGGAATGTTGAAAGTGAGTTTAATAATAATCCTTTCATTTGATAGAGTGCCTTATCATGTCTTTGAGCCATCTCAATGTATAATGTAAGGTGAAATGACTATATGTTCGTGGGCGAAACGGAGTAATTCAGTCAGTGGTTAATTATCTTTGCATTTGGTTTTAATAATAATAATAATTCTTGCATTTGATATAGCGCTTTTCACGTCGGGAGGACGTCCCAAAGCGCTTCACAGAACACACTGTAAAGTGAATTGACTGTATATTTGTGGGCGAACGCGGCAGCCAATTGCGCACAGCAATGTCCCACAAACAGTCATGGATTGAAAATGACCAATTTATTATTGTTTTTGGTTTTGGAGGGATTATTATTAGGTTTTGAGATTATCATAAACTGCAAGAGTTTCACTATTTATGGATAAAATTACCTATTCAACATTAAATTAATGAGTTGGGGTTCGACTGCAGGCAGTAGAACACGAGACGCCAGGATAGTTGGTTAATGGAAAATCAATTTTTTATCAACCAGGCTTCAACTGGGCTTTTGGGCCAATTGTAAAAGTTCTGCAAAAGCTTTCTCTGTGAGGTGTTAGTGAAATAAGATTAATTATTTTGCATGAATGCGTAATGTAAATTGAGTCCCCCCTCCCCGCCCCCACCCTTTCAAACTTCACTGGAGCTGCAATCCTAATGTCAATGGAAGGAGTTGGTTTTCGGAGCAGTTTGATTTATCATCAGTTGAAGATAAAGAGACTGATATGACCCCTTGGTCCCTTTGAAAACGTTCTGTGTTGGTCATTCGGATGACCCCAGAATTCTCAAATGTTGTTAAAGGTCTGGTTGCACAGCTATCCCTTTAATTGATACTAAAAAAAAATACAATTTCAAAGTTCTGTGCATATTTGCAATTCTGAACTCGGATGTTGGTGTTTTTAATGGTCACGTTAGGATGCGATATCAACTACGCAGCATAAATCAAGCACTCAAGATCACTCAGTTGTGCTGGAAAACATATTGCTTTGCTTTCAGCAGTATAAGTGATGCAGAAGTCCAGAATATACTCTCTGGTTCGTATCACTCCTAGTATCGTTGTTCAGTTTGACCCTGTTCTAATTTCATTTCAGAAGAAAAGTGCATATTTTGAGCCCTATGATTACTGTACAATGCGGCAGCCGATTTAGAAAATTTCAACATTATGCTAGTTTGAAATGTCCAGTGATGCAGAAAGCTAAAATGAGGTGTTGAGCTTTTATATCTTTAAAAACCTATTTTGGATAGTTTGGCGGGATGCAGTTTCGTATTTCAATCTTGGCTGCAGAGTCTAGAAAGGAGAGAGAAAAATTAAGTTTGTTGACTTTTTACTCAATTACTGCTGTTTCATGTTGCTGTAGTGCAATGAGAAATCACTGTGCAAAGTTTACCAGGATTACGTATCAGCTATTACAGAGAGCTGCTCACAATATATTTGCTCCAGCAAACCATTACTACAGCAGGATTGTATAGCAAGCGCAGATTTTCATGACTGAAAAGTTTAAGATTGTCGATTTTTTCCTGCCACTTTCTTTTGATTAGTACGCTAGGATAAGCCAAATAATGGTCTCTGCACATTTATTGCACTGCAAGTTTTGCTTTAGCAACTGTATTATCAAATCAAGTTAAGTTGTGCAATACTTTTAAACTTGTCATAAGGTCAGCATAATTTGGGAATAATACTCACAGCCACGAAAAATCTGAAATATTTCAGCAACTTATTTTAGATTTATGCAATGAAAAGCATAACTGATGTAAAGCAGACTATTTGAATGTGATGGCATCACATTTGTGTCTGATCCTGTTTATACATATGCTTACTTTCCAGTAGCAACCAGCAATGGAAACTATGGCTGTTTTTTTTTCGACTTCCCTCGTCGCCCAGGGAACACTGAGGCTATTTTTGGCACTGCTGGCCTCAGTCTGAAAGCTTTAAAATATTTCATGCGAGAAATAACCTCCACACAAAATAACATTTACAAAGACCTCATAATTACTTAACAACAACTTGCATTTATATAGCGCCTTCCACGCTGCGCGGCATCCCAGAGCGCTTAACAATGGTGGAGTCCGATGCTGAGCCAGGGGGAGGGGGAAGGTGACCGTAGGCACGGTCGAAAAGGAAAGTTTTCTGGCGCAAATGGATTGAGGGAGGGAGCTTCAGGGTGTAGTGGCTGAAGGCACAGCGGAGGATTCGAAGGACAAGGAGGAGGCCAGTAGAGCGGAGGCAGCGAGTACCGCTGTGAGGAGAGAGGAGGTTGGAGAGATGGGGGGGTTGCCAAGACGTGGAAGGATTGAAACACTCGAGTGAGGATCTTGAAGTTGATCCGCTCTGTGACAGGGAGCCAGTGGAGTTTGGCAACGAATGGGGTAATTGAGGTATGGAGTTTAGTGCGGATGCGAATGTGGGAGGCGGAGTTTTGGATGAGTTGAATTTTGTGAATAGTGGAAGAGGGGAGACCAACATTGTTTGTGATTTTCATAAGCGCTGTCTCTGTATTGTGGGCAGGGCGGCCCACTGTATATTCCTGCATATTGCATAATTCACAAATTAACATTGATAAACATAATTTAAAATCTCTTCTTTGAAGTCCATGTATCATAGAGAAACTAGAACTGTGCAGCATGCCATAACTTCCATGATCATATATGGAGGGGTGCTTAATGAATAAAGATAAACACACTATCAAAATGGATTTTTCAAAAAAACTTTCTTGTCCAGGTTTGTGCTAGCAAAAGGGAATGATTGGTTTATTGCCCACTCAGAAAGGAATATAATCCTTCGGAAGGGAATATAAAAAAGAAAAGAATTTATTTTTAAAAAGGTGAAAAATGTTAAAAAGCTATAGCCAACTGACTTTTTGGTTTTCAAGAAGGTTCAATAATAGTTTGTGTGGGACTTTACGATGCTTTTGCGTGTACTTGTTACATATTTTCTGCTTTTGCATGTACTTAATATTATAATGATCCTGGCATTTGTGCCTTATGATATAGTTGAGCCATCTCAAAGCGCTTCAAAGGATATATTGTGAAGTGCAAGACTGTATTTTGGGGCCGAAATGCATGTCTTTTTGCTATGATTGGATTGAAATACATTTCTGTTGCATTTATTAAGCACCTAATTTTCCAACAGGCTGACCTTCATAATGGGCTGAAAAATGGGGACATTTCTCAGCGTCGAACATTCCACGGGTGGAATGAATTTGAAATCAGTGAAGATGAACCTCTTTGGAAAAAATACATTTCACAGGTCTGTATAAGAATGAATTTTGCCCATTCATTGAAGTAGTTTTTCTTCACAATGTCTTTATTCAAGGTACCTCATGTGATGTGCTCATGCACAGGAACTTGTACTTGCCTCCAACCAGATGAAAGTAAATGCACCCATTCCTTGTTAGCAAGATTACTTATATAGCATCTGAATAGCTAAGCTCAAAACTGAAAAAACTCGCCTCTGACTGCATTCTTCCCCAAAAATCTGTTTTGTCTTTCTGTGCTTCAAATAAAGAAATTATTTGAATGCTGTTTAAATAAATTGTGTAGGATGTACGATAACGGTAGAAAACAATATTCGCTTTTAATGCTTTAGTAACTGGGACCCTAAGCACACTAGGAAACTACCCTGCCTGAAAGGCACTATATTAATGCAAGTTGTTGTTATTGTAACTGCTGTATCACTTTAACAACAACTTGCACTTATATCGCGCCCTCCACACTGGGCTGCGCCTCAGAACACTTAAAAGTGGTGGAGCCCAAGGCTGAGCCTGGGGGAGGGGCAAAGTGACTGTAGGAGCGGTTGAAAAGGAAGGTCTTCAGGCGCGACCTAAAGATGGGGAAGGAGGGGGTGAGGCAAAAGGGATGAGGGAGGGAGTTTCAAAGTTTCAGGGTGTAGTGGCTGAAGCATGTCCGCCGATGGTGGAGCGGAGGATTCAGGGGATGGGGTGGAGTCCGGACCCAGTAGAGCGGAGGCAGCGGGTACCGCTGTGGGGAGAGAGGAGGTTAGAGAGATGGGGGGGTGCCAAGAAATGAAGGGATTGAAACACAAGAGTTGATCCACTCTGTGACAGGGAGCCAGTGGAGTTTGGCAAGGACTGGGGTAGTCGGGGTACAGAGTTTGGTGCAGGTGAGAATGCGGGCCGTGGAGTTTTGAATGAGCTGAATTTTGTGAATAGTAGAAGAGGGAAGACCGGCGAGGAGGGCGTTAGAGTAGTCCAGCCGAGAGGTGACAAAGGCATGGACAAGGGTTTTGGCAGCTTTTGGGGGTGAGGTACTGTCAGAGACAGGTAATGTGGCGGAGAGTTTTAAGGACAGGTCAGGTAGGTTGAGGAGGTCGGAACCGTTGGACAGAAGATGTCGGCGGGAACCAAAGAGTATGGCTTCTGTCTTGTTGACGTTTAGCTGCAGGAAATGGTCTAAACACTTCAGACCATTTATGTGAAATAAAAACTGAAAATGCAGAGCAGGTTGATCAGCAACTATAGAAGAGAGTAAGGTTAGTGTTCAGATTGATATTTAGATAACAGTCATCTTTGTTGGAACTGGTTTAGAAACTTATTTTCACAGAGATTCCTACTCATACAACCTTCATGTGCTGATCAACCTATTCTGTCTTTACATTTCATAAACCACTGATTCAACAAAATGTTCTGCCAGTGGATGAAAATTTCCCAACAAAGCAAATTGATTTTTGATGCTTTCCATTATAATTCAGAAATGTGTTCCATTGCTGATTGATGTTGTATTCTAAAGTTTTCCATTATTGACTTGATCACGATATTCAAATTCAATTGGTGATCTCTAATGTTATGAGTTTTAATTTAGCCTATCAATATATTTTACTAAGACACAAAGTTTTATCATTTAAATTTCAAACGCGGATGGTTCAGATCTGGCTTATTTGCTGTGTGTCAGAGGAAGTCATTATCATTTGATAACCTCAAGTTAACACAAGTTCAGAAAAGTTCAGCTTGGTGATAAATGTGGTGTGGCACTTTGTACTTTTCCTTATAAATAAAGAAGTTAGATTTGAGCTAGGATTTGTGCTGAGATAGCTGATTTCAGATGGGTGTTACTGATACTGAAACTGGCTTCAGTTCCTGAATGAGCCCCAGTAATTGGGCAAGTTCCAGCTCTAACTAGGGAGTGTCTCAGGGCGGCAGATGAGTTCTTTAGAGGTGTTGCTGATCATTAAGCAGCTGATTAACAAGTAATGGCGAAGTACTGTTTCTTCCTATGCTCCCAAAGTGTACTGTTACCAACCTTGGATGATCAATATTATACTAGAAAGAATGAAACCAAGAATGAGCTGAAAAATTCTTCCCCTTCTGTGATAACCACACCCTATTTCCATGCTCATAGTTTAAATTTCGTAATTAATTGCGTGAAAATTACTCGTATCAAATTTTCCATTTTTCACAACCATCTGTGACCACTGAGATTACTATTTTGTACTGGATTAAGGGGTGCAGAGAGTGGATTGCACACATTTTTCATAAAGGGTTTTTAACAATCAGAGAGAATTTCTTCCCATCTTCACTGGGTTTGATTCCTGTTGTAGGGATTAAAGCACAGAATTTAAATGGCTGTACCGCTCAGTACCCTATCCATTGAAAATTATGTTCTAAAGTGGTAACAAGAGACTGCTTTATAGTTACTTCACTTATCTGTGTACAGGGTAGTAAACAATGAGGCTAAGTTTTAGTGAGAATTACATGAAGCTATTGTACTTTCCTAGCAAGAATGGGCCAGAACATTTAATTCTTCAGATGTGCCTTTTAGTGAATAGAGATTATCAAGAAATAGTCCATTTAGATGGTCCTGACAAAATCCTCTTGTGTATAGAAGCCAAATACTGTAAATTAATTCAAAATATGGATTCAGATTCAACCAATTGTTTGTGGTAATTACAAAACTCCCTGTGAAAAATCTTAGGGGGTGGGGGGGGGAAATATTTTGTTTGTATTCACTGACCCCTATTTGAATACCTCCTTTCTGTTTAAGTTGAAGGACGAGAGAATCCTTTTAGAATTAAATGAGCACAATCTTCATCAAGGAATGATTGGAATACTTTTTGTGGTTTGCCAAGCACTTGACCAATGATCCAACTCATGTCAAAACATATTCAATTACAGGAAAACCTTGTGAGAAGGCAATTCACCATACCTCAGATTTGCTAATAGACTTGTATAAAATTGAGTTGTGGGCCTTTGATGATTTCTTACTTTAAAATCAAAATTATGCGACCCAAATTCTGTTATTATGAAAAAATGGCTGACTTCCAGGTCACCTCTAACGTCACTTGCCGTGTTCTGTGCTTGTATGTTATGTGCTAACAGCACTTGTGACATACTGTGTATGAATGCCACAATGATTCTCACATTGGATATAATACATTATCCTAATTGCAGGAATCACTGTTTGACATCTCTTTGCACAGGAATTGATCGAGTTGGTATTTTCTTGCACATTGCACATGTTTGCACTGAACATACAGCAAGTGACTTTGATGTATCAGCCTCGCTCTGTTGGTAGCACTCTTGCCAATGAGTCAGAAAGTTGTGGGTTGAAGGCCAAATGCCAGCTTCTCCTAGTGCCCTGGCCAACACAAAATTGGTCATTTCACTTCATGGCTGTTTGTGCACAAATGAGCTCCCACATTTGCCCACAAAAGTTATTTCACTTTACATTATATTCCGTGAGAAAGGTGCTCTACTAAATGTATTAGTAGTGGTGATGTGAGAACCCAGGAGTCAGCTATTTCATCATGCCTCTTTATAACGCGGGGTCTTGAGATATTAGGCTCAGGTCACTGCATTATAAAGGGATTTCCATTATTAACAAATAACTTGATTGTACCACATTTGACAAAACCATATCTCTGGGTTACTGGCTGCTTAAGTGACTTCTTTAAATTACATCATTGATTCTTCTGTAAGAAACCAGCATCTCCAGTCACAGAATACTTCGTATTTGTTCCCTGATTGATATTCAAACTTTCTTTTGGCTTTTTTGGGAATGAGTTGCAAATGATTCACCATATAGTATATTACAATATGCTACATGTATAGACACTGCATTATATTACACATTGTGAACCACATTGTAAAAGTATTGTAGATTTTCAAGAATGCCATACAGTTTTAAGTGGGCTATAGATGATGTGGTGCTTGTGTTAACCTTTGGTGTGATTGCTTGGGTGGGGGAGTTTTTTTCCTAATCCCCAAATCAAAGTTAAACATATTTAACCCTCTCCGTCACCCGTTGGGTTTATTTTTGATTTGGATGGGATTATCGTGCATTAGTGTTGGTACTGTGTGTGTGGGGGNTGTTGTTGACACTGATATTTGCTATTGGCAGAAGGCCAGGAATGGAGACCAGATCCTGAAGATGTTCTCCTGGTTCAGCCTCAGTGAGTACATCGTTTTTTCAGGTTGAGTAGTTTTCCACAATGCCTCAACCCCCTTGGGCAGATGGGGTGTTGTATTTGCTGGCACTTAGTGGGATACACTACAGTGCTGCAGCTAAAATAAACTTCAATGCTTTCCCATGTTAGGGTCTCTGAAGAGTGTCAGTGGGTTGGATTCATCGCACACATTGCTATCTGAGCTGTTGTTTCAGGAAATGGAGGAATTGTTCCTTCACCATTAGATTTGACTTCTGAATGTGTGAAAAGCTGTGTTGTATTCAGGCCCCAGGCCAGACTTGCTTGACTTTGTATTTTCTGGGTATTCTTTACTTTTCTTTACATTCACAAATCTAATTTTGTTCTGTTCTTGTTGGTAAGGAGGAGATGGCAAGTTAAAGAAAGCCTTACTGCAGAGACCTACAAAAATTGTTACAAAATAGAGTTGCTGCAGTTTGATTGCTACTGATTTTTGTTGATCAACATCAGAGATTATAATGCTTGTGCTGCCAAGTAGTAGCAATAACATTCTAGAGAGAAGCTCTCTTTATTTTGAGCGGTCTTTGGAGGACAAATTTATCTTGTCATTTCAGGAAATATGGTGATCTGTTTATCTAGGTTACGAGATATTTATAGGGACTTTGAAATAAGTGTTGTATTCTGGGCAAGAGATACAGTCTGACCGTCCCTCCCCCACCCCCCTCCCCCACACCATGAGGTTAGCCAAAACTGACTCACTTGCTGCACTTTTCAGCGATCACTCTGTTATTTTCAACTGTGTGCTGACTGACTGGCAACCCAATCTGCCAATCAGAGTCATGTTGGGAGGAGGCAGAGAAGTGGAGCCAAGTCGGCCAAATCCTGAACTTGACCATCTCACCCCCCACCCCTCCTTCGAGCATGCCATCACACACAACGAAAACAATCAACACATTTTTTTATATAAATCAAATTTGAGTGAAAACTGTTTTTGATGGATTGACTTTGATGCATAAGAGTATTTATTGTTGAAAATTTGTTAAAAGTGATTTTAATGGTCCTTCAGTATATGGGGAAGAAGTGGGCCATTCTTCTTTGTTGTATTCATCTATCTGTAGCTTTGCAGGCACAATACTTAAATATTTTTTGCTTTGCATTTAATATCCAGTTGCAGTCCTGTAGCGTATTGATTAGAGCACTTGCCTTGCAAGCAAGAGGACCCGGGTCCGATTCCCGGGCAGGGCAAAGCATTAGGCAAATTTCCTTACTTCCCACAACTCTGTTTACTGAGCAGTAAGTAGGAACCAGGAGTCAGTCGATTGGCGGATCGCTTTTCTGGGGGTAATAATCCCTTAAAAAAAATTTGGTCACTCAAACTACGACTGTTTGTGGAACACCGCTGTGCGCAATCGGCTGCTGCGTTTCATCCACAAAATAGGCAGTCAATTCACTTTTCAGTGAAACGCTTAACGATGTGATATACCAAATGCAAGTATTATTATTATTTCTGAATCTACCTCATCAAAACCACTGTCATCACTCTTATCCTTAAAGAAACCCTCCCTGGATCCTTCTATTCCCTAACTACCGCCCCATCTCCAACCTCCCCTTCCTCTCCAAGGTCCTGGAACGAGTTGTTGCTTCCCTTCTTCCTCTCCCGCCACTCCCTTCTCGAACTCCTCCAATCGGGTTTCCGTGCCGCCCACAACACAGAAACTGCCCTGGTCAAAGTGACAAATGATATTCTGTCCATCTGCGACCAGGGCTCCCTCTACCTCCTCGTCCTCCTTGACCTCTCTGCTGCTTTTGACACCGTCGACCACTTTATCCTCCTCACTGCCTCTCCTCTCACCTCAACCTCCACGGCGCTGTCCTTGACTGGTTCAGATCGTACTTCTCACACCGCCTGCACTTCATCTCCATAAACGGCTTTTCCTCCAGCCCCCAGACCATCTTGTTTGGCGTTCCTCAGGGCTCTGCCCTTGGTCCCCTCCTCCTCAATATCTATATGCTCCCTCTTGGTAACATCATCCGCAGACATAGGGTCAACTTCCACATATATGCGGATGACACCCAACTCTACCTCTCTGCCTCCACCCTTGACTCCAGGACCACTGCTGTCCTGACAGAATGTCTGTCAGACATCAAGTCCTGGATGAGAGCTAATTTTCTTCAGTTGAACGTCAACAAGTCCGAGGCTCTCGTGATTGGCTCCTGTCAGCGCCTCCTCACCTCAGGCGCTGACAGCATCACCATCCATGGTTACACACTCCACCTTACTAAGTCAGTCCAGCACCTTGGGGGCTTGTTTGACCCTCAACTATCTTTTCTATCCCACATCTATGCCATGACCCACTCTGCCTTCCCCCACCTCCGCAACATCGCCCGGCTCCGTCACTGTCTCACACCACAGGCCACCGAAACCCTTGTACACGCCTTCATTACATCGAGGTTCGACTATGCAAACTCACTGCTTGTTGGCCTTCGCAACTCCTCCCTCCACAGGCTGCAGATCATCCAGAACTCCGCGACCCTATCACCCCCATCCTTGCCTAACTCCATTGGCTTCCCATCACACAGAGGATACAGTTCAAGATCCTGGTTCTCACCTTCAAAGCCCTCCATGGTCTTGCTCCTCCCTACCTCTGCGACCTCCTAACCCCCTACCACCCTGCTCGCTCCCTCCGCTCAGCGGGCTCTGGTCTGCTTCATGTCCCCCGCCTCGCTCGCCCCACTATTGTCGGGCAGGCTTTTTGCCACTCTGCACCCACCCTCTGGAACTCCATCCCACAGTCCCTCCGTCTCGCCCCCTCCCTTGCCACCTTCAACACCCATCTCAAGACCCTCCTTCGACCGTGCTTTCGATCTCCCTGCTTCCCCCTCGTCCCCGCCCTCCACCCTCCCCCACTCCGACCCCCAGCTCGGGTCCGTAACTCTGTGTGTCCAGCGCCTTGGGACATCCTCCCAACGTGAAAGGCACTTTACAAATGTAATTTTGTTGTTGTTGTTGTACTCCCCTTCCCCCCTTTCCCAGAGATCTTAGATGAGTATTCTATGCCTTTAAGTATTAAGTTTGCTTATGTTAAGTTAAAATTGGTTCTGATTTCTACCATGGAAAAATGTGAAGAAACCAGAGAACAGGAGGCAGTCAGTGTTTTCTTTGTCTGGTCTCAGTAAATGAGTAATAAGTCCCAGCTATGTGCAGAGTCTGTTCTGTAGGATTTCTGACTTGGTTGTCTCATCCCATGTGTTAGGAAATACGAAGGTAATGATTGTTTGAGCACATTGTGCAGCAGAGGGACAAGTTGCAAGCGAACATTTCGGGAGTCTATGAGACTAGAGCTTTTGTTCTCTGGGCTATATTGACTGAGTTATCAAGGATTAGTTTTGCTTAGTTGTGGAAATGTTAGGTTGGGTATAAATACCCAATGGCTTTAGGTAGAATTGTAATTTTAGAAAGGTATAGGTTTAGATAGAATTTCATACATTCATATTTCTTGGTTTACAAGTTACGCACACAGCTGTCCATAGAACATTGTGATATTGTTTCATTCCTCTGACATTTCTATTATTTTGAAAATGTTAATCAAATTAATTTTACTCCAGCTTTTGAGCAATAACTCAGTTTTGTGCAACACATTTTCACATTGAGCAAGGCAGTCACTTGTCTTGTGTAATTGAAATTCTGCTTGGGTATTGGCAATTTCCATCTTTGTAATGACTTCTTTTCAGCCTCTTGAAGTCCAGACTGACACTTCATTACTGAGAGAGCTCTGCATTGCTAGTCTTGAGATGAGATATCAAACCAAGGTCCCGTTTGCCTGTTTAGATGGATGTTAAAGATCTTATGGCACTATTGAAAAAGGGGAAGGAATTTCTCCTCGTGAATCCTCCAGATAAATTGGTCATTTACTTCATGTTTGTTGGTCTTGTGAATTAATTGGCTGCCGTGTTTGCCTATGAATATATACAATTATTACAATGGACAGCAATTACATGTATATTTACTGAACAAATATCTATCCCCAATAAGTGTATTCTGATTGGTCGAACTTGCTTCTCTATACAACGTTGCTGGTGTTTCCATGGTGCTGAAATCGGGTGTTTTCATCTTTGTTGCACACCATTTTAGCAAGTAACCAAAAGATAGTAAGGAAGTAAAACACGGACTATAATCAAAAAAAGACTCGCACACTGTTTTTCGTCTTACCATCTTATTGACAAACGCACAAAAATGCCAAGATATGCATACGAATATGAGTGCGAACACAAGTATTGAGATCGTATGCCCAGTGACAGTGTCTATTGGTCATTTTTAAAATTTACTAACAAAAATGCAATTTTTCGACATGTGGATTCCCAATTCACCACATGTGGCTGGTGGCCAACCTATTGGATAATTGGACCACCCTGCGTTAAAGTCTGTCGATACGGTTCTATCAGCTAGCTTTTGACAGTCACATTTTGTCATAGCAAAGCTAGTTTCATTATAAGCTAGCTATGCTATATATTGCATAAAAGGTTTGCACCATGGAATTTATACTTATGTGTAGTGTAATTTGGTTGTTGTTGTTTGCAAGAAATGTTTTACGAGGTTCTTGCTTTGTGTATTCTCTTGCAGTTCAAAAATCCTCTTATTATGCTGCTTCTGGCTTCAGCTGTAATCAGCATTCTAATGCACCAACTGGATGATGCAGTCAGCATTACTGTGGTAAGGAAGCAATGGTTAACTACTAATGCAGACTAGCGTAATGCCAAATTTCATGCACGTGTTTGTGACTGAGCAAATCATAAACCATATTGCGGAAAATTTTAATATAAAAAAACCTTGTCATTCGGTTATTCACATTGTTAATAAGGTGCTTCTTTAGATTTATATCAAAATGAATTAATTTTAGCAACATCACGCACGTAAGATCCTGCAGCCTTGCTGCTTTCCATTCTCTGAAACTCCATCCTGTAGACCACCCCCGCCCGACACGCTTCCTCTCTCACTTCATTCAGGTTCCACCTTAGCACCTACCTGTTTGACTCCACCTTCATTGGTCTTTCCCTCCACACTCCACTTGGTTTCCACCCCCAGCTTGGGTGCCAAATATTGTTAAGTGCCTTCAGACATACGCCCAACAAGAAAGGTGCTACATAATTGTAAAGTTATTTGTATTTACTGTATGTATAATTGTGTTGCAAATTTTTGTAAACTGTGTTTAATAACCTCTTGGGGGGTTCCCATATAGTGCTTATTTTTTCAGTAATTCAGTTGTACCTTTACAATAGGAGGTAACCATCTACTTTCCTTATATCATATATACTATATCCTTATAGAAGATTATAATATTTAAGAACTAATTGCATCATTGTTTTTCTTTTCAAAGGCAATACTAATTGTGGTCACAGTCGCCTTTGTCCAGGTTGGTATTTTTAAACGTTTTCTACCGGAAACTTGGCCAAAGCTATAAGTTTTAAACTTGTATTCTTTACTAAATTGTTTCAAATATTTGTACTTGGGCCTACCAGTTTTTTGACTTTTCATTTCATCTACTGTTATTGAAACAAGCAATAAGATTACAGGGATAATGCTTCTCAAATATCAGGTGAATGTTTATTGTAATATTAAGATCATCCAGAAGTCTGCAGCTCGTGTCCTCTCCCACACGAGGCTCCATGACTCTATCACTACCAAACTCGCCCTACTCCACTGGCTCCCATCTCCCAGAGGATGGAGTTCAAAGTCCTTGTCTTCAAGGCTCTCCATAGCCTTGCTCCTTCCTAGCTGTGTGACCTGCTAATCCCATAACAAACTGTCTGCTCCCTCTGCTCAGCAGCCTCTGGCTTGCTCCACCCCAATGCCCCCTACTCTCCCTGATCCCAAGCCTCTGCTCGGGTCCAAGTCCCTAACTGTCCAGCGCTTTGGGATATCCTCCCGACTTGAAAGGCACTTTACAAATGTAATTTTTAGTTTTTTGTTGTCGTTGTTTTCATAATAAAAATACTTAAAAGCTCTTGAAACTAGTTTTAAAGTTGGCATCTGTTCTTCTCGTCTACGTTTTCTAACCGATATCCCCCCTTTCCTCTGCAACTCCCAGCCTCTATCCTTCCACCTTGCCACCTCTATCTGTTTTAAGTCCTACCTTAAAACCTTCCTCTTTGACTGCATCTATATCACCTTTCCCTTCTCCCCTGCTGGATGTCTAACCTCACCGTTGTGAAAGCCTCAGACATTCTCTGCTTGAAGGGTACTATATGAATGCAAGTTGTTGTATGTTAATGTTTGTTACTTTTATCGTTTTACACATTTTAAGTACTATATTTGCTGGTTTTCCTCTATGTAATTCTGTACATCTTTTCTCGAGTTGGGATGTAAATATCCAAATATTGACTTCTGACTGAAAATCCACTCAAAGAGTTTTTTTTAGTCAATTAAGACTCGGGCCATTTCAGATTTGATCTCTTCATAATATTGAAGTAACTAGGTCAATCTGACTTTTAGTGAGAAATGTTGAGCAATCTGGCCACTTGACATTTATCCCACATGATGAATTGTTATCCAGTGGAGTTGATGGCTCTGAATCTGTTTGTTTAGCTGGTATTGTACTAAAGGTTAAAATCTAAATGGACAGAAAAAAAATTGCCTGAATTGTTGAGATTGACTGAATGATCAGAATTTCTTTTCATATCTTATTGCAGTCACAAATTGTGAAAAGTTGGGCTGTAACCTTTATTCTTACCTGATGATCTTTCTGTAATCTTGTAATGATTAAAGTAAAAGATGGTGGTGGTGAGAAATATTACACTTTCCTGCTCGCCTGAGGCAGAGTGAAGTTTTTGCTACCCTGTCCCAGCATTTGGTTTTAATCCCAGTTTCGTGCACCCTTATCACACCAATTCTAATACAGTTCCCCTTTTCATATTATCTTTTTGGCCTTTCTGAGCAAGGCAATTTAAAGTGAATCGCAGCAATTCGGAAATGCAGCCTCTCTCTTATAAGGAAGTGGGTTGAAATATGCCAAAGCCGTTTTACATACCGCTCTTACAACCAAGAGAAAGATGTATGCATCAGAAGATATTTTGTCAATTCAATTGCATCAGATTCATAATGAGGCTTCTGGAGTGGAAGGGTATTGAGATATTGTACCTTCTCCACCTCCCCTCCTCCTCCCTTTCCTTCTTGAACTTTGTTCTTTTGTAATAAATGTGTTTCTCATTGAGTGGTGTAATTTTTCCCTAAAGAATGTAAATAGGCCTCATATAGTAAAATCTGTGAATTTGGTCATTTTGTTTTTTGATAAAGGACTTAATAAGAACCAAAGATGTTGAGCCAATTTCTAAGATTATTTTTTCAGAACTTTGCCTTGGTCTTATTTTAAGATTAGTTAAATTTAGCCCGATACCATAAGCTAAAAAACAAAATTTTTGGCATCTACTGTGCTTGATTGAACAGTTTGGTTGAACAGTGATCGTTCAATTTATTCAGAGGACTAAGGGCAGTTCTTGCCTGTTCTCTAATTTTATTTATAACTGGAATTAGCAATTTTGCGATCATTAATTGAAAATCTACATATTCTGAAAGCTACAAAAGAGCTTGTTGGGTAACTAGAGTTTCAAACAATAAACGTTTGTTCTATTTTTATGACTATAGTGACTATAACCTCTTTAGTCTCCATGGAGAGAGACTAACAAAGAAAGCTACAAATGTTGCCTGTGCTTAAAATAAATGTGAATGTTGGCTCCTCTCTGCATTGGGTAGCACATTGTTATCATAATTGTCAGAAGTGACCATGCACAGCACAGAAAGTAAGCTTATCAAGTTCAGTTTAGTGTCCTTTCTATTTTTATATCTCAAGAATAAAACGTATATTTCGTTTCTTGGGAGATGTTTGCTGAATCTTGGCAAGTGGAGTCCTGTAGATTATTGGTTGGGGTTCTCGCCTCGCAAGCGAGAAGACACTGGTTCGATTCCTGGGAAGGGCGAAACCTTAGGCAAGTTTCCTTGCTCCACACACCTCTGTTTACTTAGCAGTAAGTAAGAACCCGATTGCTAGTTGATTGGCAGATTGCTTTCCGTGGGTAATAATCCCTTCCAAATAAATAAATAAACATTCAGTCGTTCAATCCATGTCTGTTTGTGGGACACTACTCTGTGCAATTGAAATGCTGCCCTGTTTCGCCTACAAAATACTGTCAATTCACTTTATATTATTCTTTGAAGCATTTTGAGGTAAGGCGCTATATCAAATTCAAGATTATTATTAAGTGATAAGTAAAATAATAACAAATAACCAAATCAAATAATCAGAATAATTAACAACCCAAAAAGATTTCATAATAATAATATTAGCAATAGATGTTATGAAAAGCACTCGATACTAAGGTGTGATTACAAGAAAGTAATCAAATTGGAAGAGTGTTGCTGGCTATACTTTACTTTCCTACTTTGCTGTTCTGTTGCATTGTAATGTTACAATCTATCCCAAGTTAATACATCTTTAATTAAGGGTCTAGAAGCAGGGTGAAAGTACATTGAATAAAAAATATATTAACAAGAAAACATTTAACTCTTGTGTGCAGCTGTACATAAATAATTCCACTATGTGACATTGCTTTCTTTTTCCTCTTACCCTTCAGGAGTATAGATCTGAAAAATCCCTAGAAGAGCTAAGCAAATTGGTTCCTCCAGAATGCCACTGGTACGACTTTTTTAAAAAAATTTTATTTTTCTTTTTTGTAGAAATGTTTAAGTATGCTCATTCTTTTGAAATCTTGTCGGTCTGCCTGTTCAGGTGGATGTTAAATTTCCCATTGACGCTATGGAAAGAAAGAAGGGGGAATTTATAGTACAACGTATTTCATTACCTTGATCAGTTTTACTCTATAAAGCAAAGTTTATACAGTAAAACCGATCTGTATAAATAAGTTTCATCTGTATAAATAAATCTGTATAAATCGTATAATCGCCTAAGTCGTACATCTGTCCAAGTCCCATTCATATTCTATGAAAGTTTGTCATAACTCGTACTTTGCAAAAGTCATATTAAATGTGTGGTCCCAACTGATACGACTTATGAGGTTTACTGTATAAGAATACAAAGCAAGGTTTACTGTATAAGAATCCAGCAAAGCAAACATCTAAATAGCCATATTTTAAAACTATCAGGGAACAGGAATTAAGAACATAGATTCAAATTAACATGGTTCTAACTTTCTTCTTTGACATTTTGTTTTTTATTTTAGACTATAGTTACAGAAAAAAAAGTACAAAATTGTTATAGGAAAACCATGATTGCATGACGTGCCTTCATTCAATATTTTTTCCAGTTGTCTGAATGGAATACATCCAAGAATCCTGAGGGAAGTTAATGATGAAATAGAGGCTTTGACTGGAGCCTGGACTGGAGAATGGAAAATATCCCTCCATTGTTTAAGAAAGGAAAAAAACACTATTTGCTAATGAGTTCCCGGGAAGGATTATTATTATTAAGGTCACAATATGGCATGTTGTTGTGGAACATTTAGGAAAGATGGAACTGGTTAGATATGTAAAGGGAATTAGTTAAAGGGAACATTGAGTTCCCTCTAACTAATTTTGTAAAAGGAACATTGAGTATTATTATTATTCTTTCATAAGCAGTTCTATGTATTCGCTATAACATTTAACTATTGATTATAGATAATTAACCAATTCTGCCTTTTGAAGTCGGACAGAAATTTTTCTCCTCAATTGGCCATGGTTCATTTTGTTCTGATTTTTCATCTCCCATGATTGACTAACTTTTAGTAAGAAAGATGGGTAGGTGAATATTTTGTGGAATCGGAGTAAATTGCTCCTGGGAACAATTTACTCTGATTACTCCTGGGAACAATTTTGTTGCCCATCTTCACTTTTTCCTATTCATATGACTAGAAAGTTAAGTGAAATCACACATTGATTGTTTTTTAAAATCCGGATTGATGTTTTTGAAACAGAAAGCTCTTACTGTTTTTAGAGCCTTTTTAAATATTCTATTAATCCAATTTTTTTNGGTCAGAAGGGTGTCTGCCGCATGCGGAAACCCATCATCATGCTTAAGAGTATCCAAACCAAGCTGAGATTTCCATGGATCCCACCTACACATGGAAATTCCAGAGATAGATTGTTGGAAGGGAATGCGCCCTCTCTCCCTGAAGGGGCTCATCCTGCTTACCTAATTCCAGAAAATATTAGGTGCAGGTTGGCAAGAGCAAAGACTTGGGAACCCCAGAGTGTACACTGGGGTAACTGCTGGAGTCTAACCAGCTAAAACCACATTGTGTGCCATTGATATCGCTATCTGGTAAGCTTTCCCACTGTTTGTCCAGCCAGGATCACCCTTTGCATTAGGGCTTTGACTTGCAGGGCTAACAGGATCTGAGTGGGATGATTGGTCTGCTCTTCCTGCTAATGAGCCATACTGTCATCAACAGTGCCCGGGAATTGGTATGTTTTAACAGGAAATTATTCTGTTGTATTGACTGTGCTGCATATTATTTTAAATGTTGCTTTTTTTCTGCAGTGTGCGGGAAGGAAGGGTGGAGCACTTGCTTGCCCGTGAACTGGTTCCAGGAGATACTGTATGCTTGACTGTTGGAGATAAAGTCCCTGCTGATTTGCGTCTGTTTGAGGTACCTGCAGAGCAAAATCTTTAGAATATACTTTGCAAAGTGGCATCGGCATCACTTCCTATGCATATGCAGCGCACAGGAAGTGATTGCGGTGACTTGATGACCTGGAAATTAGCCATTCCATAGTGTTGGAAGCTGGCTGATACATGCTGTAAATGTACTGCAATTCTGGTAAAGGTTAAAAACAAACCCGTACTCAAGTAAGGCACTTAGTAACAGGGTTCACATGTATCTGTATTAATCTCCTGTAGTAAGGGTTGTTTTTATTATGCGTCCACTTTATTCCACTATTGTTTTCTTGAGGGTAGTTGTGATAAGATTCCAGATTAATATATATAACATTTTGTTTACAACGACGACAGTTTACATTTGTATAGTGCCTTCCAAGTTGGTAGGAAATCTCAAAGCTAGAAAATAATATCTTGGGCTACAGTATGTAGTTTGGGACATGAATGCTGCCAGGATGGTGATGACAGCTTTAGAGACATGAAGTGAGTGTTATTAATTAACTGAGTAGAGGAAGTAGCCCGGACAGTAGGATTGCATGAGGTCACAGAGGTAGGCTGGGCCGAGGTTGTGGAGAAGTTTGTTTAGTTTCATTACTTTGGAATTCTAATCTGTCAACTCATCTACATTTTTTTCTGTAGCTGTTATCAGTCCATTTCCTATGTCAGGAAACATTGCTTGGATTCATATTAGGACTTCAATCTTTGCTCAGAAAGCTCATAATGACTGAAAAATGGAAATGTTAAACTTCTATTGGAAAATAATATTTTTGAGTTTGTGGTTTATAGTCGGCACACTTTAGGGAGACACATATTCTTTACAACCAAAATATTTTTCTGCTAATATTATCCTTACATTTGATATAGCATATTTTACATCAGGAAGATGTCTCAAAAGATTGGATGCCTAGTTATTTTTTTTGACGAGGATATACATCTACACAAATAAGCCTTCCCCAAATATTTTTATAACCATTAAACAATATATATATACATATATAGTGTGTAAATTCCACAATGCCAAAAATGGTATGTTACTATGATATAAAAAAGCTACAAAATCTTTAATGTTGTTGGTTCTCTGCTACAACTTCTAATACAATTTACATGTATATAAGCGCCTTTCATGTTAGCAAGACGTCTCAATATGCTCTGTGCTAATCGTCAGAATGTAAAACATCACAAACTGTAGAAATTCTCTATTATTGAACAGGTGTGCTTTAAGGAGATCTCTAGGTCGCGAGGTTAAGGAGATCTTTAAGGTTGAATATAGTTGGTGTTGTCAGTAAAAAAAATTGAGGCTTCAGGAAATTGCATAGATTGTACAGCATAGAATTGTGCCATTTGGTCCAACTACTCCTTGCCAATGTGTTTAGACTTCATATGAGCCTCAGCCCCTCCTAATCCCCTGCCGCATTCTCCTTTACACCCCCATGAATGCAATACATGAAATATAGTTATATGCTATCATTGCACTTATTTCCTCGTATCAGTATTACTCTTAAAGAGTATAATTCTTTCAGTGTATCATTTTTACATGAGCAAATGTCAGTTTTTGAAAATGATCCAATCAGATAAGAATTTTACTTTGCAGAATTTGGGGAAACCCATTTCCTCCTTCAGTTACAAAAAGTTCTACTGAAAAATAACCACAGAATCGCTAACTTGGTAAACAATTAAGGTTTTAGTCAGCACTCAGGGCTATAATTAACTGGAACATTCTATAACTGAGAGAATGAACCGACCAGTTTTTACCAGAAAAGCTCTTTAACCTTGTTTGCTAGTACTGTATTTTTCAGGTGTAATCCTGTCCTTACTGGGCTATTTTGGCCTAAGCACAATTTTGTTTGTAGTAATGAAAGGTATTAAATTTAATTAAATGCCAAAATAAAGATATTAAAACTGAACTTTCTACATAAATGTAATTATTACTTGTGTATCTTAAATGGTACACTATATAGCACCTCCACCTGTAGTCTAAGCTGGCACTTCAGTCCAGGCTAAGGGGGTGCGGCATTGTTGGAGGTGCCATTAAACTGAGTCAATTAAATCTGCCTGTTCAGGTGGATGTTAAAGATCCCATGGTGCTATTCGAAAAGATAAGGGAGTTTATCCTGGTATCCTGGCCAACAATTCCCCAAATAAAATTAGTCATTCATTTCACAATTGTTTGTACAACACTGATATGTGCAAATTAGCTGCTGCATTTACCCAGAAATGCATATGATCTCTGCATTTTACAGTATATTCTGTGGGATGCCCTCCCGAAGTGAAAGACGATATATATAACAAATTTAAGCATTATTATTGTTACTAGATTTAAATGCAGGCATAGTTTTTCTTTTTTGAAGTAACTATTGCTATTTTGACAGGTTAGATTGAAGTCACAAAATTAATACTGATGATCAGGAATGGAAAGAGCTTCAAAAAAGCCATATTGCTTTCTGTAGGAACCTATATACACAGTCAGATTGTATCAAGACAGCACACGTTTTCTATTTTTCATTAACAAAATACATTAATCTTGAACTGAATCTTTTCCACTGCTTTTTTAAGCATTAAACTATAGTAAACCCCCATCTTATCGGACTTGTTCGTACCAACCCAACAGGGCCCAAAATGGAAACATTTAAAATCATTTCCACTGGTCTGCGCACTTGTAGACTCCCGCCAGCCCACTCTCCTTAGCGCATGCCCCCACCTCACTATGCTTGCTGGTCTTCAGTGGCCAGTAATATCAACTTTGACTCGGTTTGAATCCCGTCAGCAGAAGGCAGCTTATTCACTATCTTCTGCTCATTGGATTCAAACAATTACATTGCTGGTACTGGTATTAACCCGGCGATTTTAGACTCTGAAAAATAGCCATCCTCATAAATGGCCAGTTTCGGCACTATAATTGTACTCAACCGTAAATTCTGGTTCGCCAGATCGGACCTCTTTCCCCCCACCCCCCTCTTTTTGTGAGAGTTCTGGTATGATATTCAGCTTCTTCCTCTGAATTACGTTAATTATCTCATATTATTTCAGTAAGAGTTGGAAAGGTTGATTAATTTTGTTTTAAAAAGAAGGCGCGAGTCACAATGGTGTCCTGTGCTGAAAATTGCTGTTTACATAAATTGCTTTGTTGCAACATCAGATGGAAAGCTCCTCAAACAGGCATAATTATCAAAACTACATATTACAGTCTTATAGAAAGGACTGCTTCAAATTAAGTAATTAGATCCAGTCTAATGGTTGGAAACAAATTGGAGACAAATTGTGTGAGATTAGGGGAAATGTCTCTATTGCCTTTGGTTCCACTTATCTTTTAAACCTTAATTTTCTACTCAGTTTTTGAACAAATTGCCAACATAGTTGTGATTATAATGTTCCTAAAAATATTGAGACCTTTCGTTAAAGAGATTATTCTGTACTTGCAACATAAGATGACCAATATTGGTCAAAAGTCAATGTGATTAACTGTCAATCCTAGGTTGGTAAGCTTTTATTCACATCGTAGTTCAGCGAGGACATCATCTATCCAATGCTTGAATTATCTTAGTTGCTGAAATTCAGCAGAAATCCACTGCTGGAGAAAGAAAAAAAAAGTCCATAATCTTGGAGTAATTACATTTCCTGATTTATTTGCAACTTCCGAGTATCCATTTTTTTAAATATAGAAATACAAAACTTTTAAGATATAAAATTACGAATTACCCTAAACTCATTCTTTGAATTAGCACATATGATCTTAAAATTGCTCTTTGAGTCCAAGTAAATAATGGTGAATGTAGAAGCAATAGAGAAGAAGGATAAACAGAGAAAAGAGAAGACAGATAAAGCAAAAATATTGTTTTTCTAACTTTTGTTTTAAAACCTTTTAAATGTTTCATTGCAGTTGGTTAGTGACAAACATATCCATTTGTTCGGATATACTGATATGTTTTGCTCAAGTCTTTACTTTGTAATGAGTTGCTGCTCCTTTTCATCAAGATCGTGGACATTTCCATTGACGAGTCTAGCCTTACGGGAGAGACCTCACCATGTTCAAAGTTAACCACTCCACAACCTACAGCGAGTAATGGTGACCTGGCATCCAGAAGCAATATTGCTTTCATGGGCACATTGGTTAGATGTGGGAAGGCTAAGGTAATTCTGCTCTTTAATCTAGTAAATCGGATAAATGGTTTTAGTTTGATAATTCTCGGTGAGCAATTTTAACTGATTATTAAAACATATTAGAAATAAGATTTCTTGAGGAACATTACTCCATATTCTGGAGTCTGATTTAAAAAGAAGAGTTTGCTTTAATACCAACAACATCCATATTTTAATCAATTAAGCTGACTTTGTGAATTTGCAGGGCATTGTTATAGGAACCGGAGAAAACTCAGAATTTGGAGAGGTTTTCAAAATGATGCAAGCTGAAGAAGTAAGTTTTTGGAAATGATGAAGTAAACTTTAACAAGTAAATATATTTTTTGAGGATCCTAAGCTTTTCTGTTTCCTTGGCATAAAAGTAGTACCTATATTTGTAAAAAAAATACTGCAATTTTCAAGTGAAACCTATTCCCGTTCATTTTACTACTGGACGGTGGTTCTGTGACCCATTATTTTTGGCACTGAACTATTATGCCATCTAAATTCTCAGGTTGCTTCATGTTGCCAAGTTTATAGATTACTTAGGTTTCATTCCCAGTCAGATAGTGATCAGTTTGATCTTCTGTATTATATTTTGTTATATTTACAAGATCTTTTTTGTTTACCTATTCAGTGGAATATTGTCTTAATCCTTTCAAGGCTCGTAGCTTGACGCAATTCTGTCTCCTCCCCCCACCCCCCCCCCCCCCCCCCCCCCCATACTGGCCAATCATTGCTTTAAAAATGTTTTCACCTTGCATGTTTACAGTACTTGAGCACCACCTGTTATTAGCAATAATGTCACTGAGATGCAAGACATTTGGAAGAATATTGCTTTAACCCCAGTTTATAGTTTTTTGTAATCATAGCTAAATGTGCAACATAATTCAAAACAGTTGTGTGCACATTTTTAATTCAATTTAATTATTTTGAAGGCCCCAAAGACACCATTACAGAAAAGCATGGACCTGCTTGGAAAACAACTTTCATTATATTCATTTGGTATTATAGGTAAGAAGTACCATTTTAATTTTAAATAAGGTCTAGTTGAAGAAATTAACTATGATATGAAGCTACCTGTTCGTTTGGAAATAATCCAACATAAATTGCAGATTTCTATTATCTGTTGAAATTTTCAGGAAGCGAGTGGTGAAAGGAACCTAAGTCTATTTTATAGATAATTGATTTCTTGCTCCTCTTAAAAACTGTTCTTTTATCAATCTATTGAAATCTCCCGTTTTCTTTCTTTCTGCTCTCATGTCTGGTTACTGCTTTGAGATATTTATCTTGTGTGAAAAGTACTATTCAAAGGTACTAGCTGTTATTGATTGTATTTCATTATAAAGACTTCTGCTTAAAAGAAATGTGTTAACAGCTTGTAAAGGTGTTACTTTTCCATTATTTTAGGTGTTATAATGTTGGTTGGCTGGCTGCAAGGGAAACACATTCTTGATATGTTCACTATTGGAGTGAGGTAAGCTATGCTTTACATCTCATTTCTCCTGCTTCCAGCCCTAATCGTTCATCTATTTCGGGGGAGTGGGGGGGAAGGTGAGATAAGAGAAATGAGCAGCTCTCTGGCGTGGAGCCAAGGTAATAAGCCTGGCATTAGAATATTGGAACCCAATCGGTGGTCTTGATTTAAATTCCTGAGCCTGATTTCCTCCGGGGGGGGGGGGGGGGAGATGGAGGACTTGGAGCTGAATTCCAACAATTTATGAGTTTCTTTATTTTCTACAAAACTAGATTAGCACACAATGCCTGAAAAATCAGAATATTTAGTGGTGTGGTTGAGGGGCGGGACAGTGAAGTTAGATTAGATGATCGATGTGGAGTAAAACCCTAGAGTAGACCCGATGAACTGAATGGTCTCTTTTTGTGCTGTATGTGGAAACCTTTAATATGATTTCACTGTGTGCCTCTATTATAAACCTCCACCACATGGAGCCAGTGCGGAACCTCTGTCTTTGACCATCAACTATCCTTTAAACCCTGTACCTGGGCTCTCACTCCCTCTACCTTCCCTCACTCTTCAACAGTGCCTGGCTACCCCACTGCCTTGAACCAAGCTGTTGACACCCTTATGCACACCTCTAAAGCCCTCCTTGATTGACTTCTCCAGCTCCTCCATACACAAGCTGCAGACTATCCAGAACTCTGCAGCCTGTGTCCCCTCCTGTGTCCCCTCCCACAACACTGTGGTGTGGCCCTGGATACCCCAAAACAACAACAAAATGACATTTATAGAGCGCCTTTCACGTCAGGAGGATGTCCCAATGCGCTGAACAGTCAGATGTCGGGGCCCGAGCATGGGGGAGGGGTGGTGCAAGGGTGAAGAAAGGTAGAGAGGTGGGAGGGAGACCAAAGGCACGGTCGAAGAGAAGGGTCTTGAGACTGGCCTTAAGGAGGAAGTGAGGCGAAGGGACAGTGGGATGGAGTTCCAGAGTGTGGGAGCAGAGAGGCTGAAAGCCCGGCCACCGATGGTAAGGCGGGTCAGGTGGGAGACATGGAGCAGGCTGGAGCCTGATGAATGGAGGGAGCGGGCAGGTTGGTACGGAGTCAGCAGGTCAGAGAGGTAGGAGGGGACAAGGCCATGGACGGCCTTGAAAGTGAGGACGAGTATCTTGAACTCGATCCTCTGGGGGATGGGGAGCCAGTGGAGTCGGGCGAGGGTGGGAGTGATGGGGTCACGGAGCCTGGTGTGTGAGAGTACACGAGCTGCAGAGTTTTGAATGATCTGCAGCTTGTGCAGGGAAGAGTTGGGAAGGCCGATGAGGAGGGAGTTCCCGTAATCGAGCCTTGATGTGACAAATGCATGGGCGAGGGTTTCAGCAGTCTGAGGGGGTGAGGCAGTGGCAGAGTCTGGCAATGTTGCGGAGGCAATGTCTGGCAATGTCCCCGTCCACAATGGATCAAATTTAAAAATTCCTTCTTTCAAATAGCTCTGTTCTTGCCATCAGTAGGAGCATCTTTAGCCATTTCTGATCCCATTCTTTGGAACTCTATCTGCCTTGCCCCCTTCCCTAACTTCATTGCCCCCTCCATTTCCTGCCTTCGCTGCTCCCCGGCCTTCAAAATGCTTCCCCCTCCCCGACTCCTCGTCAGTTATGTTGCGTCCTCTCAACATGAAAGACGCTTTATGACACAAATTGCATTGTCGTCGTTGCAATTGTCTGTATTATTCATCTGTAATTGTAACAATTTCATTTTTTTTCAGCTTGGCTGTTGCTGCCATTCCTGAAGGTCTGCCCATTGTAGTGACAGTAACACTGGCTCTTGGTGTGATGAGAATGGTGAAGAAAAGAGCCATTGTGAAGAAGCTCCCAATTGTGGAAACTCTAGGTACAAATCAATATGCTGAAAATCAACTCAGTAAACATCTTTGTGCTGTCTTATTTTAACATAAACAAAGCTTTAAGCTCAGTGTTGAAAACTTAATTTGATATCCATACTATTCAATGCATTCAGAATGTTCAGATCAGTAAATATCTGGTTGAGCAAATTTGTATTTTATATTTTATATATTTGTGTTTTGTTATACCCTTCTTAAGTCGGTTTACTTCTTTAGGTTGTTGCAATGTGATATGTTCTGATAAAACCGGGACACTCACGAAGAATGAAATGACAGTAACGCATATTTTTACTTCTGATGGACAGCATGCTGAGGTGAGAATGATTTTATTCTAGCTTGAAATTTCTATTTAAATTACCAACACTTTTTGTTTTCCAAATAGAATGTAAAGCACCAAAAAATAACACCCAAAAATCAGAGGAAAAGCCTAGTTCTAAGCCTAGCATTTTATAAAATCAGCAGGTAATAGTCACTAATTATACAAAGATCTGAGACTCTCAATATAGTTTACAAAAATATAGATTTGTAACTATTTGAATGAAGGGGGAAACCTACGTATTGGGAACAAATGCAAAGCCCAAACTTGTAAGCAGTATCCACACATACTGACAGTATTCTGCAATAAAGCCTAAGATTTTTAACATAACCCAGAGGGAGAGTGCAGTTCGTACATCTCACAGGTTAGATGTGAGAGGAAGAACCCACATTTTCCAGGTTGGTTGACAAGAGAAGAGCCTTCCTTGATATAATAATAATAATAATCCTTGCATTTGATATAGCGCTTTTCACGTCTTCTAGATGTCTCAAAGCGCTTCACAGAATATACTGTAAAATGAATTGACTGTATATTTGTGGATGGAATGCGGCAGCCAATTGCGCACAGCAGTGATATGAGTATTATTGAAGAGTTGGAATTTACAGAGAGTTAACAGTTGTTTATTAAGTGTCGGACATAATATATTTAGCCTAATGGGAGACTGTTGAGCACAACAGACCCAGTCTTATTGGCATTTTCCTGAAAGGTAGTCATTCACAGTTATGACTGAAATGACTAGCTTCCAGGAAAATGACTGGAAGACTGGGACTGTTGTACTCATTGTTTTGAGATTGTGCAGATTCCATCTTCATAAATGGAATATTAATTTTAAATTTGTTGAGTAGAATCTAATAGAGCAAGCAGCTTGGATACTTCTCATTATAACTGGGCTGTAGTGTTATATGCACGCATTCATTTCATTTGACCTTTTTTCAATCCTTGAACTAATAAATTGCTTATAACGTTTACTTTCTCTTGCATTGTATTCTGTTTGGTTTGCAGGTTGTTGGTGTTGGCTATAACAGATATGGAGAGGTATTGATGGATGGTGAAGTGATTCATGGCTTCTCTAAGTCTTCAATAAGTAGAATTGTGGAGGTAAGCTCTAAATAAATAAAAGTTATAAAATGCACCCTTTAAACAAAACCTACATTTTTAAATTTCAAGGTAAAATTCTTTTAGTTTTATCATACTTGGCAATGTTTCTTTGTTTTGTTTTTCCTAGGCTGGCTGTGTATGTAATGATGCTGTTATTCAGAATGACTCCCTGATGGGACAACCTACTGAGGGAGCTTTGATTGCTCTTGCAATGAAGGTAAATATTTCAGAAATTACTAATCTATTATCTTAGGGAAATCCAAGCTGCACAAATACCATGAAACCTACCAGTGTTTTGTATGATACATAATAATAATCTCCAGAATACTGGGAGACACTGCCTTTTCTTTTCGAATAGTGCTATGAAAAATCTAAAGTCCACCCAAACAGTTTACATAAGAACATAAGAAATGCTAGAAAAAAAAGTGAGGTCAATTTAGTTGGCCTTCCACCTTCCTGGTGCTCGCATGCACATATGTCCCAAACTACCTATATCCCATAATGTTATTTCCTAAAAGGAAACTTATCTATTCTGTGTTTGAAAGAATCATCACTTCCTGCTTCAACCGTCTCCCTAGGGAGCCTGTTCCACAGGTTCACTATTCGCTCACTGAAATAGTGTTTGCGTAGATTTGTTCTGAATTTACACCCCCTTCAATCGCAGGCCGTGTCCTTTGGTTTTACAATTCTGGACAAGTTGAAACAGCCAGTCATGATCTGTGTTGTCTTGGCCCTTCAGAATCTTAAAGACAGCAATCATGTCGCCTCTCAATCTTCTCTTTTCCAGCGTGAAAATGCCCAGTTTACTTAGTCGCTCCTCATAGTCCAGTCCTTCCATTCCCTCAATCATTTTGGTTGCTCTCCTCTGTATCTTCTCGATTTCTCTAATATCCTTTTTATACTGCGGCGACTAGAACTGTGAACGGTACCCTAAGTATGGTCTCACCAATGATTTATACAGTGGCAGGATTACCACACTATTTTGGCTTGCTATTGATCTTTTGATACATCCCAACATCTGGTTTGCTTTACTCATTGACACAGAGTATTGTTGGGAGAGCTTCAATATATTGTCAATCAGGAGCCCCAGGTCTTTTTCATTTTCCATACATATTATTTTCCTTCTGTTCAAATAATAGTCCCAGGATTTTTTGTCCCCATGTGAAGTACTTTACATTTCTCCACATTGGATTTCATTTGCCACCGATCTGCCCAATTCCCAAGTATGTTCAAATCCTCCAGTAACCTATCTTGTTCAGCTTCGTAATCTACCACCTTCATTAACTTTGTGTCATCTGCAGATTTAGCCACTATGTTTGCGACTCCTAGTTCCAGATCATTTATAAAAATATTAAATAAACGTCTTGACCCCATAACCTTCTGACTTGCAGGTGAGAATGCTACCAACTAAGCCAAAGTGACACCAATAGAACAAGGATTTACCACTATTTTACATTTTGAGTAAAATATTAAGAGGCAAAGAAACACTTATCAAATGAATTAATGAATATATGATCTTAATTATAACTTCTGGAGTCACTTAATGCTATCTTAAGACCAACAGGTGTCAGTTAACAGCACTCTCACCTCTGAATAGTAAGGTTGTGGATTCAAGCCTAATGTACAAACTAATGTTTTCTAGATTGACATTCGAATGAAATGCTGGGGGTGCAGTGCTTTGTAATTGAAATGTTCTTCAGATGAGATATTAAACTGAGGTCCTGTCTGTCTGTTCAGGTGAACATCAAAAATACCATGGCACTACTTGTAAAGAATCGAATTTCTCCAGGTGTCCCGACCAATAATCCCCCAAATAAATGTTGTCATTTACTTCATGACTGTTTGTCGGATATTACTATGTGAAAATTGGCTGCCATGTTTGCCTACAAAAAAATCATTACATAATACTGTGAATTACTTTGAAACATTCCCATGTTGTGAAGGGCGCTATATCAAATGCAAAAAATGTCTCAAAATGCTTTACACAGCTGACTGGGCACCCAAGTAGATGTGGGTGGAGAAGGTGATCGCAAGTGTGGTTGAAAAGATAGTTCTTAAGCTTGTCTTTAAAGGGAAGGAGGGAGCAAGGAGGAAGGACTCTATGAAGGAGTTTCTGGCAGAATGGTTGAAAACTCACTCACCTTTGGAGTGAATAGAGCAGGGTACATGAAGCTGGTGTGCTAGAGATGCAGGCCGTTGCAGAAGTAGGGTGGGGCGATGCTGTGGAAGAATTTGAACACAATGAGGATGTTGAATTTGATCTGCTGAGGACTGAGTAGTCAGTGGAGCCGATCAAGGATGGAAATGATAAGTAAACCAGATTTTCTCCAAGTGGCAAGCAGACTCCTAAGTATTTGTCAAGGCTGAAGAGTCTTATCGGACACCAAGTCTCATGAGACTGTACCTGTTTACAGTGAGGGCTTTTTTGGCAGTCATGGAATGGTGTCAGCACTAAAGTGCTCATTAGATACTTCTGTTTTAGATGCTGATATCCTGAGCACACTCCTTGTGAAAAATAATTAAAAATTGATCCCACCCTAAATTGATTTGTATTAGATACCATGTGCTGTGTAAATGATGAGGGAAGAGAATGTCAAAGCAAGTTATCACTTTTCGTGATCAATACAAGGTTCAACCAGGTGATTAATCCTTCACAACACAATTTGGCATTTACTGTCCTGGTTTTCAGTTTCAAAGGTAAACACTGCCTTGTCACTTGTGCTGAAGATTAATGCTTGTGTTGTTTGTGGATCAGCAAATGTCGTGTGCAGAATTTTAAGCAATTGTGCAAGACTGCAGATTAGTAGAAAATTACTCCATAAGATGACATAGAATGACACAGCACAAAAAAGGGCATTTAATTGGCCATTTAGATTGTGCTGGTGCTTATACTGCACACGAGCCCCCCTCCTCTCCTATTCCACTCTTCTTTACCTCTCTGTCCTGGCTGGGTATTCTCCTAGAAATTAGCTTTATTTTGTGTAACAGAATATTCCTTTTTTTAATGGTAATGAGATTAACAGCGCCTTGGGATGTCTTCCCGACATGAAAAGTCCTATATACATGAAATTTGTTGTTGTTGTTCTATTCAACCTGCGAGCTTCTGGGTGAGCAGTATATTAGATTTTTAATGTTGTTAAAAATTAATAAAGTGAATGTTAGACTCCACTTCTGGCTGGGTATTCTCCTAGAAATGAGCTTCATTTTGTGCCACAGAATATTGCTTCAATTTTATGGGAATGAGAATAACTGAATTTTCCAAATAAACTTCAAGCACTTTGCACAACTTGTGTTGTGATTAATGCTCTAAGATTATTTGGTCTATTGTGAAGTGCTCAACGATATCATTGCATATTGCTAATTTACTGTTTTGTAAGATCATCAATACATACAATACAGTGAGTGGCTCCTGCAGTTTATCTATTGATGAATATACCCAGAAGATGATCAGGCGGGGCAGAAGGCTACTGGAACACTGCAGTAATCTGAGGTTTATTTCTCTCCTCTTGTTTGTGAGCTAAGGATTAAGGTCACACTTTGTGGATGAGGTTAATAATACATGAGGCGAAGAAATCCAGTTGTCCAGGAGAAAGCCAGTTTAACATCAGCATAGAGAGCAAGCTCAGTAATGACTGATTCTAGTATTCTCAAACAGATTTGCTCATATATTTGAAGATATTAAATAATATAATAATAATCCTTGCATTTAATATAGCACGTCAGTTCTAAATGTTTTTTCCTTCTCCCTTAGATGGGTCTGGAAGGTCTTCAGCATGATTATTTAAGAAGAGCTGAATATCCATTTAGTTCGGAGCAGAAATGGATGGCTGTGAAATGTGTGCACAGAACTCAGCAGGTTTAACAATATTTGATTTTAACATTGATTCGGGCAGTTGCATTTTATAAGGTTAAAGCCAATGAACACTGCATAAGATTTCAAAATGTATTTAACCTTTGACTATTGTTTTTAACAATTATTGTTTTCCATTCATTCTTCTTAAACTCACTCTTCAAATTGCTTTTGAAAACTGTTCTGTGTTTGACTGTAAATTCCTATAGTAATTGTACTCCTAATTGCAAAGGAAAAATATGGAGTAGTATATTTGAAGTTTGCTTTTATATTTAACTTATCCCCCTATTCTATCTGAGTGGTGGAAGGAAAAACAAGTTTCAGATTTTTTTCTTGGCTTCTAACAGTGGAGTTTATATAGTGAATAAAACTGAGCCATACAGGAAGGAAAGTCCTAGGTTTGATGCCTACTCTATGTTGGTAAATGATTTCACACAGGAATGTACACTAGTTTGCCTCAAAACTCCAGATTATGCAGAACAAAATTAGCAACCAGTACTGGAGAAGCCAGATTGAATTCTTAATGCAATTCTGCGTGCAGTTGAATAACAATTATTTTCCATTCTTGAAGAGACCTACCAATTGGGCTTCTCTTCCTTTTCAGAGACCTGACTGCTCCACTGGTATCAGTCACAATACCATCACTGAGCGGGTTTTATGAGAAGGTTTGCAGATTGGCATGATTTGGGAAGCTGGTAAAATTCAGTACTGTTGAATGACACGGCTGCATTTGCCTGCCTCTGTGTTTTCCTAGCTCAGACAGAATGCCAATCAGAAGTTTCAAATACAGTATTTCCAAAGAAGTGAAAAGCTTTTTAACCTCAGCAGCAATACAATAAACTGAGATACGCCTTGATTACCTTTTTTGTATGTAGACACTACATTTTTGCTAGTGCTTAGGAATCCGTTCTCCGTATGGGTGACAATTTTAGCTCATTATTCTATTTTTTCCCCTGACCTTGGTTCTAGTCCTCTGAATTCTGCTTTGGTTCCCTTTTGTTTGCCCAAGCTCCGTATGCCTCAAATTGGGTTTCGAATTTCCTGAATTTCACCAGAGCACAATTTAAAAGGTAATTTTTTCAAACGACAAACAGAAGAAATTGAGTGTTTTGGATTTTTCGGTGATTAACTGGATTTGTTTATTTGGAATATGAGCCTACAGAAGCTGGCACTTATTGGACCTATTAACAGTTGTTTTTCTTTGGTGAGCTTTTGCACTGGAGCTTGTTGCATCACTCATTAGCTTAGAAATCTGGCAAGATAATGCACTTGTTATCTCGTGAACTGCTTACATTCCTAATCAACAGTTCAACAAAAAAATCATCATATAAACAAAAAACATGGAATCGTGGAAACATGGAATATACAATGCAAAAGGAGGCCGTTCGGCCCATCAAGCTTGCACCATTGTGCTAATCTGTTGTACCTTTTAATTTCATCTTTATAATTGAATTTTTGTATTTTTGAACTGTGATGTTGTTATACCTAGCTGAATAATTTACTGTGAGCTAGCATTGTTTTCTTCAAATGTGGTAAGTCCTCACACCATGATGTCTAATATGGATTGCCCTGGATGGATTCATTGCTTCTACTGATGTGAAGAATTAGCTGTCTCTGAGGCAGGGCCCGCCCAAGAGAGTGTTATTAACACCTCATTGATCAAAATCAATCGTTTTGAATACGACAGTTTTATATTTATCAATTTCTTTCCATATAGGATAAAGCAGAGATCTATTTTATGAAAGGCGCCTATGAACATGTAATTCAGTTTTGCTCAAGCTACAACAGCCAAGGTCAAACTCTGTCACTCACCCAGCAACAGAAGGAATTATATCACCAGGAGAAATCGTACATGGGCACTGCTGGACTTCGAGGTAATGCTACTATTTCTTTGAACAATTCTGCAAGCTAGTTTAACTTCGGAGGTAGCGCTTCTTGTGTGTACAAAGATGTTTTTGCTGATACCTGAATTCCAACTTAAAGGAACTGACTTTTTGGTATTGACTTATCATTTTCAGCCTATCATTGTACTCAATTTTGCATCATCCATAGCCTTTTATGATTTAATTCTTACATCTATTTTCTTAATTATGTTACACCCATATTAAATATGGCCCCCACAACTATGTTTAAATTGTGCACACCAGAGATGAGAAAGAGTTTATTTAGAGAGAGAGAGGAGAAGAACATTGTTACAAAGAGCTGACACGGAACCTGCCACTAACCTGGACTGATACTTTTCCAGAAGTGCAGAATGACTAGGCTATTCTTGATTCTGATGATATTTGACAGCTTATATTAAATGCTTTCAATCCTGGCAGACCCTGCAGGTCATTCATTTGTATGTTTAAATTGTCTCATTAATAAAGTACCATTACACACGAGACAAATTGATTTTCAGCCCGCCAGCCTATATACACTAAGCAACATTTCAGTTCAAAATGGACATTGTGGTAAGCCAAGTAACTATAGATCAGTCAGTCTAACATCCATAGTGAACAAACCTTCAAAGGTCATCACTTTAGTAACCATTTAACCAATAACCATGGAGTCCTGTAGCTCAGTGGTTAGAGCACTCACCTCACAAGCGAGAGACCTGGGTTGATTCCCGGCAGGGCGAAACTTTGGGCAAGTTTCCTTACTCCACACGCCTGATAATGATCCCTCAAGAAAAAAAAAGAAAAGAATAATAATTTGGTCACTTCAATCCACGACTATTTGTGGGACATTGCTGTGCGCAATTGGCTGCCGCGTTTCGCCCACAAATATACAGTCAATTCACTTTACAGCATATTCCGTGAAGTGCTTTGAGATGTCTAGAAGACGTGAAAAAGCACTGTATCAAATGCAAGGATTATTATTATTATTTAGAAAGATGTATGCACAGACAGGTCCTCTTTGACTAATCAAAGTTCTTCAATGAAATAACCAAGAGAAAAACTGAAGGTAGTGGTGGGGGGTGTTATTTCCACTGGTCAGTGCGTGAATGACTAGAGAGCATCAATTTAAGGTAATTTAGGAGGATTTTTTCCCCCACATTAGCTTTTTTCAAGCAGAAACTAGGTAGATATATAAAAAGTGAAACAAAGACAGAGAGAGCTGGGAAAACTCAGCAGGTCAGGCAGCATCTATGGAGAAAGGAAAGTGAGTCAACGTTTCGGGTCCACGACCCTTCGTCATATAAAAAGTGATATAGAACATGGGCAAATGGACCTGAATGGATGGCTCTATCAAAGATCTAACACAGGCAAAATTGGCTGAAAGGCCTCTTGTGTTGTATATATCTGGTTTAACACATTAATACCCTGAATCTAAAACTGCAATATGTAAAGGAAAATTGACCAGTAATCTTTAAGAGATGTAGACTGGATTTCAGTTTTCACTGTCTTAAATTTAATCCCATGTTTATATGAACCTGCCTTCTCATAATTTACTGAACCTATTTTACGTGCAGTTTACAAACTACACACTGTTTCAGTCCTTTTTATATAGTGGGAAGTAAGTAGAGTTTTAACAAAAAATTTATAAAATTCAAAAGGTGTTCAGAAATGTATTTGTAGATATGAATGGATACCTGAATAGATCTGAATGAAAGCCTGGCTATGCTAGCTCCCTTCTCGCCGGACTTCCCAATTCTTCCCTCCACAAGCTGCAGATTATTCAGAGCTCTGCAGCCTTGTGTCCTCTCAGCAGCAAACCTGATCACCACCATCCTCACCCAGCTTCACTGGCTCCCCAGTGAATCAAGTTTAAGATCCCCCTTCTCACTTTTTAAAACCCTCCACAGCCTTGCTCCTCCCTACCTACTAAAACCATACAAACCTGCCCACTCCCTCCGCTTGGCAGGCACTGGCCTGTTCCATGTCACCCGCCCTGCCGGCCCCACCATTGACAGGTCTGCAGCCTTTCTGCCCCAAACCTCTGGAATTCTATCCTGGAGTCCCTTCACCTCGCCCACAGACTTTCTTTTTTGTCATCCTCCCCCTTGGCCCCACCACTTTTGACTTTTAACCCCCAGCTCAGGTGCAAACCCTCGACTGTCCAGCGCCTTAGACATCCTCCTGATATGAAAGGCGCTATATAAATTCAATTTGTTGTTATTGTTGATGATGATGATTTGATTGTAATATAAGCATATATTCCATTTTGTAGTATTTCATGTAAGATGGGTAATTTTACCATGGTTAAAAACTATTACAAAATCTCCTTTGATCTTTTTGTGGCAGAAAACAGTCTGAAGTTGCAAGTGCACTAAAACAGAGCCAGGAAGGAGGGTGACAAAAGCAAACCTTTGTTACAACAACATGTGGCAGGAAGGGACTGTGTTAGAAGAATATTTTTTGCAGTTTGTTACCAGGGTGTGTGATGTATAGTATGTAATTTTTGCAGATATATGATAGATGTGAAAAGAATACGAAGAGATGAGGAAATAAGTCAAAAAAACAATTAGGAAGGAGAAGAGGAACTATTAAATTATCGAGGAATATAAAAAAAAGTTAAATATTCTACAGACATAAATAACAAAAGAAAAATCAAAATAGAAATAGGGCCACTAAAGGATGGAAAAGATAAGCTCACAGGCAGTGACAGCAAAATGGCAGAAATATTGATTAATTACTTTGCCTCAGTATTTACCAGGGAGACGGATCAGGTGGACAGTAGAAGAGATCAAAAATGATATAAATACATTTAAGATAATAAAGGGGGGAGATATTCCATAAACTAACCAAACTCAGAGAGGATAAAACCCCTGGTCTAGATGGATTGCATCTGCATATATTAAAATAATCTAGGGAAGAGATAGTCGAGGAACTATTACATACATACATAATAATTTATTAGAAAGGGGAATAGTGCCAGAGAACTGGAGGATAGCTAATGTTATGCTTATATTTAAAAAGGGAAATAAAACAAGCACAGGGAACAATACACCTGTCAGCTTAACATCAGTGGTAGGAAAGATAATGGAATCCTTACTGAAAGGTAATAGAAAAACATCTAGAAATCGAAAATATAATAAAGAATAGACAGCACGGATTTCAAAAAGGAAGGTCATGCTTGGCCAACTTCATTGAATTCTTTGAAGAAGTAACAGAAAGAGTAGACAGGGGTAATGCAGTAGATATAATAATAGTAATATTGGATTTCCAAAAGGCGTTTGATAAGGTACCGCATAGTAGACTAATGAATAAGGTCAGAGAATGTGGAGGCAGGGGAAAAGTAGCAGAATGGATAGCAAGCTGACTACAAGACAGAAACCAGAGAGTAGGGGTAAAGGGTAGCTACTCAGCCTGGCAGGGGGTGGGCAGTGGTGTTCCACAAGGATCGGTATTGCGACCACTGTTGTTCACAATTTACATAAACAATGTGGACTCTGGGATCAAAAGTACAATTTCAAAATTTGCGGATGACACCAAATTGGGAGGTGTAGTTAATACTGAGGAGGATTGCAACAAATTACAACAAGACCTTAATAAACCAGCTGAATGGGCATTTAATTGGCAAATGAATTTCAATATAGATAAGAGTGAGGTGCTATTTTGGTAGAAGGAATAAGGAGGTCACATACTGCCTGGAAAATAAAAACCCAAATGAGGTAGAGGAGCAAAGGGATCTAGGGGTACGGATAGACAAATCGCTAAATGTAGTGACGTTTAATAAGGCCATAAAAAAAGCAAACCAAGCACTGGGGTTCATTTCTAGAGGGATAGAAATGAAAAACAGGGAAGTTATGCTAAACTTATATTGAACCTTGGTTAGACCACACTTGGAATACTGTGTAACGTTTTGGTCCCCATATTATAGAAAGGATATAGAAGCACTGGAGAAAGTGCAACAGAGATTCACAAGGATGATACCGGAACTGTGAGATTATACCTATCAGGAAAGGCTGAACATGCTTGGACTCTTCTCTTAAAAAGAGAAGGGTGAGGGGTGACCTGATACAGGTCTTTAAAATTATGAAAGGTTTTGCTGGGATAGACATAGAGAAGATGTTTCCATTTGTAGGTGAGACCAAAATCAAGGGCCATAAATATAAAATAGTCACCAATAAAGCAAATGGGGAGATCAGAGGAAACTTCTTTACCCAGAGAGTGTTGGGAATGTGGAACTTGCTACAACAAAGAATAGTTGAGGCGAAAAGCATAGATGCATTTAAGGGGAAGCTAGATATGTACATGAGGGAGAAAGGAATAGAAGGTTATGCTGATAGGCTTAGTTGAGGAAGGGCAGGAGGAGGCTCATGTGGAGGATAAACACCGGCATAGACCAGTTGAGCCGAATGGCCTGTTTCTGTGCTGTATATTCTATGTAATTCTGTGTAAGATGCCTATTCTTTTACAATTGTGTAATAGTTATTTTTATTTGGAGATGATGTCATGATGTTGAACAAATGGATGTGGAGGATAACAGTAGTGTTTGGCATTCTTCCTATTCAGTCCTCGCTCTAGCGTCTGGACCTGAACTTGGACAACTCACCTTCTTGGGACTGGTAGGAATGATTGATCCACCAAAATCAGGTGTAAAAGAAGCAGTCACCACACTGATTAACTCCGGGGTTGCAATCAAAATGGTCACTGGAGATTCACAAGAGACAGCAGTTGCCATAGGTAATTATACGGCTCAATATTGTACTAAGAGGTACAATGCATGTATAGTGAACCAAAAGGCACTTCACTGTAATGGTCAGGTGCCCCGTCTGCTTCATTACAAAGAGGAAAATATATCTGTTGCAGATATGAAATTCCAGATATGAAAGTGCTCTGAGAAGCGCTATATCAAATGCAAGGATTATTATTATTATTACCAAACGTGAAGGGTGCAAAATAATCGTGCTGTGAATTATTATAACATTACTACCATATCATGATCGGTAACCCTGCATATTTGTTGTTCACTATTTGGACCTAGGTCGCAAACGTCAAGAAAAGTAATGAAGCAAACTATTTCCATGTTATAAGTTTGTTTATGTCCAGTTATTAGAAAATGCACATCAAAACTAATTTCAAAACTTTGTATTTGGAGGAAATTTCAAGTGCCCCTGTCACAGTCAGTTACAGTTCTCCTAGATTGTTTAGTCACTTCAGTAAGCTCATAGAAACCTGCGTATAATACATTATTAGTTTTGCAATGCAAGAGCAAAATGTTATATCGAAGCAGTAAGGAAGAACATGCCTCAATATAAATCACTGCAACACAGGAGTAGCTTATTTTGTAAAACTATTTTTGAAAAACAAAATCTTTTTATTGATCAGAAGTACATAAGAAATAATTTCATAGCAATTTATGGTAAAGCTTCTCAACTATTTCTCTCCTCTAACCACTAGAAGAGTACGGAGTTTGAATTGGCTAAATAATAATTTTAAATTAATCTCAAACAGGATATATTTTTGTGAACTAGAAGAGAGTATGTAGGATGACATATTCTAGTTAAATGTTTTCGATTTGTGCTATATAAATTTAAACCTATTAATTTAGCAAATTCATTTCGAACATTTAATATTGGCTGGGAAAGAAACCTAATGTAGCTGAAAGCTCATTTTCAGAAGGGGAATGTGACAACATTTTAGAAATATTAATTTCAAAGCTAATTCTAGTTAAGCTCTGTACAACTTACCACTGCTAAGTGAACTGTGACTAACGTATCCTAAGATGTTTGACCACGGGTCATTTGCTATTATTTCATTTGATTACTCCAATGTTTCTCAAAAACTCTGTTGAAGGATTAGTCTAGCATGCTTCAAATTAGACTTACTTAAACAAACAGCTTGAAACTAATTATTTCTAAAGATGCAGTGTCTTTCAGCATTAGCTTTTCAGTAAGTTCAAATACAGTAATTTGTCGTGTAGATTCCAGACAAGATCTTTTAGATTTTTTTGGGGGGATGGGGTAAGGTGGATATCTGACACAATCCAGTGCTTAAAGATTTTTTTTGGTACTGATAAAAGTTCTGGTTCTATTTCTAGATATCTTCCTTTTGAACATATTCCAAATGAGCTTCTTACCTTATGACTATGTTATTCAGCATCCCTTATTAATTGGATTAATATTTGCCAAGAGGCTGATGAAATCATAAAATGTTGGAATTTTGTTTCCTAGAAACAATTTATGGAAATTAAATTTGACTCTCTGACCATCTGTATGCATTGTATGCAATATATATTTGAAAAGGTTGATGAAATGCCCCCAGTGACTGGTCTGCCCTTCCAAGTCCTGCTGGTGAGCCAAGAACTGAATTACTGAGGCCGCCATAAAGGGTGGACTCAATTCTGAAATTCCATTGTCAAACATGTCACCTTGGAACCAGTTCAGCTGCTCGGGGACCCTGCCTGCCTTTTCTCCTCCTCCTCCCCTCCCCCCCCACCAAGGAGGATAGTTGTTATTTGGTCATTTGACATCTGACAAGTGCGGGTTTGAGACCTCACTAGATAGGTTGCATATACCAGGAATTGGTTCTGAGGTATAGATAATTGCAAAAAACAATGTATTATTCACTTCATGATGGGAGTTGCTGAAATTCTTTTCATATAAATGGTCTTCCCACCAAATTGCTTTTGTTTTCAATGGTTTTGCAATTCCTATTTTTAATTTTCCTTTCTTCCTTTCCCTGTGTCAGAGGAGTAAGAAAGTAATTTTGCCTCCTAATGATATAAATATGTACTAGAAGATTTCAGTACTTAGATTCCTTTGTGCTGTATTTCCTGGTAATTTATACATTTGTAATTTGCAGGTACTTGCATCAACACGTGGAGATTATTTTCTTCTGACCTCGCAGCCCAGCTCAGTTAGTCACACTGTGCCCTCTGAGTCAGAAGGTTGTGGGCTCAAGCCCTACGTTGGGACTTGAGCTCATAGTTTATGCTGACACTACAATTCAGTGCAATGCTTCAATGTTGAGCATTCCGTGCTATGGATGAAACATTAAACTAAGGATGTTACAGAAGCCTGTTTGAAAACAGTTTCCTGGCTAACAATCCTCCAGATGAAATTGGTCATACGCTTCATGGCTGTTTGTGGAATATTGCTGTGGGAAAATTGGCTGCAAAATATTCAGTTACTGCATTTCACAGTAAAAATCATGCGAAGCACTTTCAGACATTTTGTGGAGTGCTATGTCAAGTGCAAGTACAGGATTTATTGTGAAGGGCAGTGCTGTCTATTTTATAGGCAGCCAATGATGTTAAAGAAGCCATGGTATTATTCAAAAACAGTTAATATAATATTATTATAGACTTGGGAGCTAATTTGTGTATTGTAATTGCTCACAAACAGCCATGAAGGCCACACTGCGACTGTGGTACTAGGAGGGCCATCCATTGAATGTATCCAATAAAAATTGGAGGCAGTCAGATAAACTAAATAAAATATTTCAAAACGTAGCGGAGAAATACAAAATTAGCTACAATATATAAACTAAAGCTAATATGGCAATTGTCCCTAACAAAGTGATCTATGATTCCCATATATTCATCTAACTTACAGAGGTTACATCTAAAATTTCAGACCACTAGAACATTTGATCACTGCAGTAAATGGAGGTCAGTCATATAATTGAATTAAAATGATCAATCACTTGAATTATAGAAAAAATATACTGAATAAACATATAATGTTCTTTGTTGTGCAATGTTTAGCTGGTTAGCAATAGATACCGTGCATGATATTAATGTCAATAATATTCATTGACCTCTTTTAAATATTTTGTATTCTGTGCAGCCACTCGTTTGGGTTTATGTTTCAAGGGTTCACAAACCATATCTGGAGAAGAAATAGATTCACTTGATATTCAAGAACTATCACAAATTGCCCCGAAGGTATGCAATGTAGTTGATAAAATGCTTATTTTCTGCATTGTAGTGATGATAAAAATGAGATTCATGAAAGAAGAGTTCATAAACACACTACGTGTAAGGTGTATTTAAAAGAACATGTCAGCATTGAAGTATTATCGGGATTACAGTGCTAAAGTTATTATTGAATAATCAACTTATCACTCGTCATTTTACTTTCATTAACTCGAGCGTTTACTTTCAATTTTATGCTTGCTCCATTCAGCTTTGCGTAGTCTGTACATGCAGACAGCCCTCAATTATTTACATGGAATTTTACAATTCAATGTTATTTTAACTAGTGCTAAAACATCTAGCCTGTCTCACCAGAACAGTATAACAGTACAGTACATCATTTTTGGCAACCTATAGGAAGTGATATCACTGAGGATCTGATTTACATAGATTTACCTAGATTGTGCAGCACGGAAATGGGCCATTGGCTCAATTAGTTCATGCTCGTGTATATTCTCCACAACTGGAAGTTAGCTATTTTTAGCACACAAAGCCAGCAGATCCCAGGACGCTAGCTGGCTTTCTGCACGCATGTCCAGTGAATGATGAAGCGCTGACAGGTGATCGCAGGCCATTATATCATTGCTTGCTATTTTATGGACCCACAACCACCATGTTAAAATAGGTCTTTGCTGTAGAGGAGTTTAAACCTTTTACGTGATATGAACTTGATGATGCCTTTATTGAGATCTGCCTAAACTATTGTATTAAATGTTGTGTCCTCTCACAGGTGGCAGTGTTTTATAGATCCAGTCCTAGGCACAAGCTGAAGATCATTAAGGTAAACAATGTTAGTGTTAGCTGACTTTATCACTCACCATGTTAAAACAGCGTGAGATAACATTAAACAAGGCAAATGGGTGCAACTAAATCAGTTAAGTTCAGATCCCCATGCTCATGCTACACCATGCTCTGGTGAGGCTGCATCTGGAATACTGCATACAGTTCTGCTCACTACGACATAAGGGAGCTGCCCAGGCTCTAAAGGCAATGCAGAGGAGAGCAACAAGGATGATCCCCAGTTAGAGGGATGAGCTATGAGAAATGATTGGACAAGGTAGGGCTCTTCAGGTTTGATGAAAATGTCTCAAGAGTGGACCTTGTAGATGTGTGAAGCATTGTAAATGGGATTGAGAAAGTAAAGCCAGATCAATACTTTAGAATACACAAAGACTGTTTGTGGGATGTCGCTGTGTTGCCGCGTTTCGCCCACAAAATAAAGTCATTCCACTTTACAGTGAATCATGTGAAGCGCTTTGAGATGTCTCGAAGATGTGATAAGGTGCTACATCAAATGCAAGAATTATTATTATTGAGACATTTGAACAAGAGGACATACGTTTACAGTTGTAAAAGGAATTTCAAGAAAGATACCCAGAAGTTTTTCTTTACCTGAGGGAATAATTAACAACTGGAACAGGTTGCCAGGAAGGGTGATTGAGATCAAAACACTGGACTAAAAAGCAGCTTGATGCTGTGATGGGAGCTATTGTGGGTATTCTGGAAGGACATGTGATCAGTTGGGCTGAAGAGCCTTCTTCATCCAGACCAGTCTTGTGAAATAGATTCAGTTGGGACACTTTCCTACAAAAAACTTTTGTCTACTTTGTTTTTTTAAAAATGCTTTATGTATTGTAATGATTAGTTTAGCTCAGTTGGTAGCACTATTATCAATCACTATTATCGTGGAGCTTGCTGCGGCAGAGGACACCAACTTTCTGAATTCAGAATTCTGAATAATCTGCATCTTGTGGAGGGAAGAGTTAGGAAGTGCAATGAGTAGGGAGTTAGTATGGACAAGCCTGGATGTGATGAAAGTATGGAATGAGGATCTTGGAAACCTGAGAGGTAGTGGCAGAGGTGGGCAGTGCTGCGGAGGTGTGGGAAGGCAGAATGAGTTGAGACATGATTTGGTATTTAAAGGACAATTGAGGGTCAAACAAGACACCATGGTTCCGTACTGGCTCAGCGAGGTGGAGAGCTTATTCATGAATAATGATGCTGTCAGCACCTGAAGTGACGAGAAGCTGATGGGAACCAATCATTAAGTCCTCTGTCTTGTTCACATTCAACTGGAGGAAGTTAGCTCTCATCCAGGACGATGTCTGACACGCATTCCGTCAGCATAGCAGTGGTCCTGGAGTCGAGGGTGGAAGCAGAGAGATAGAGTTGGGTGTCAGCCGCATACATGTGGAAGTTGACCCCATGTCTGTGGATGATATCACCAAGTGCGGGCATGTAAATATTAAAGAGGATAGGGCCAAGGGCAGAGCTCTGAGGAACACCACATCAGACTGTGCAAGGGCTGGAGGAGAAGCTATCAGAAAATACAAAGTGGAGACTATGAGAAAGTAAGAGTGAAACCAGGCAAGGACAGAACTGTGAAGTTGGACCTCAGAGGAGAGGCAGTGGAGACAAATAAGGTGGTCATCAAGTGTCAAAGATGGCAAAGAGATTGAGAAGGACGAGAAGGCAGAGAGAAACCCAGAGAGATGGACAGAATGTCATTTGGATTTTGACCAAGGCTGTGTCTGTAATCTGAGCAGCACAGAAACCCGATTTGTACAGGGAATGGAGAGACAAAGCTGAGAAGCAATGACTTGTTCCAGGAAAGAAAAGTAATTTTTGGAGATGGGACTGCAGTTAGAGAAAAGTGATGAATCATAGGAAGGTTTTTTTGGATGGTGGGGATGATGCCGGCAAACTGGAAATCGTAATTAGACCCCACTATATTATTCCTGAAGTCTCCATGCTCATATAATGTAAGATGCATCTTCCCTGCGCTCCTCAGTTTGTCACCAAGAAGAAATTAACATTGGACTCAACATAGTCCTGCTGTAATGTGCTTCTTTGTAGCACTAATTCAGTTATAAGATCTTGTGATGTGGACTCAATTCACTGTGTAGACAGCCCATTTACAATCACACAAAAGTGGCCAACTTTTTGGTACTTATATTGTCGCTGATTTCACTTCTAGTGCACAGGAAGTGATGTCAGCAGAGACCTGATGACTTGAAGTTGGCCTTTTTTTTAGTGCCAGATAGTGTTTTTTTAATGCCACTGCCCAGGAAATAAGTGTTTGAAATGTCCCCCAGTACACCTCTGTCACTGCTTAGTTACATGGCATTGGTCGTAATTTACAGACCCTGACCGTTGAGTTATAACAGAGTTCCACTGCAGTTTCTAATCCAACTACAGTGGTGGGAAGACAGGGAGAATTAAGATTCAATATCATGTTTCCCAGCATGTTGATGATGAATGTTTTTTATCATAGGATCACAGGTACAGAGGAGTCTCTTCCGCCATTCTGTAAGATCATGGCTGATCTGTACCTCAACTCCAAATACCGTCATTGCCTCATATCCCGTGATACCCTTACCTAAAAATAATTGAAAATATGAATGGATCCAGAATCCATAGCCTTTCGGGGGAGAGTTCCAAATTTCCAAAAAGAAGAGCTGCAGGATAATTGGCTGATAATTATCAACCCTCCCGTTCCCTCCGCTCAGCCGGCTCCAGCCTGCTCCACGTCCCCCAACCCACCCGCCCCTCCAATGGCGGGAGAGCCTTCAGCCACTATGCCCCCAACCTGTGAAATTCCATCCCCCAATCACTCCGCCTCGCCCCCTCCTTAGCCTCCTTCAAATCCTGCCTCAAAACCCTCCTCTTCGACCATGCCATCGGTCACCCCCTTCCCTCCCTGACCCCAGCTCGGGTCTGAAATGCTGTACACTGTCCAGTGCCTTGGGACGTCCTCCTGACGTGAAAGGCGCTATACAAATGTAATCTTGTGTGTGTATTTTTGAACCCAAATACAGTTTATGTTCTGTTCATGTTTCAGTCTTTACAGAACAACGGTGCTGTGGTAGCAATGACAGGTGATGGAGTAAATGATGCCGTTGCCCTGAAAGCTGCTGACATAGGGGTAGCCATGGGACAGATGGGCACAGATGTCTGCAAGGAAGCAGCAGACATGATTCTTGTGGATGATGACTTTCAGACAATAATGTAAGTTGTTTTATTTTGCTCTTACCATTCCTTGGACAATCAACTGCTTAATGTTTTACACAGCCATTCCCATAAAAGACAGTGAACAAAATGCCTGCACTTTATTAAGTGAAACCGTATTTGTAATGTACACAGAGCTATGAACTGATAACAACATTGTTTATTGCACAGTGAATTACCAAAATAGTGAAGTAGGGGTTTCTCATTTTGTTTCCTGGCAAAAATGAAAGAAAGACCTAAAATATAGAAAACTTATTCATTAAATGGTCTCTTCCCAAAGGGGAGTTCCCAATATGCTATCCCTCCGCCTTACCCCCTCTATCCCCGTTTTGCCCCTGAAGACCTTCCTCATCAACCTTGCCTACGGTCGCCTTCCCCCTCCTCCCAGCTCGGAGTTAGAACACTACCCTTCATGAGGGACGCTATATAAATGCAAATTGTTGCTGTATTATCTTGGTATATATTGCCCAGTTTCTTAAATGAAAAGTGAAAAATGAAATGAAAAGTTTAAAAATGTCTAAATCCCAATTGATTCTCTAATGCCATAAAATGTTTGCAATCGCTGTGGTGTTTCATGGGGCACTGATAGTGAAGCATGTGAGTTTTGCAGATCAGCTGTTTTTCTAGATTATCTGTATGGATTTAGTATTCATTGATCTAGAATATGTCTTGATTTTTTGGTCCAAAAGTTGCGATCACAGTTTAAAGTTGTGGTTTTGGTGCAGGGAGTTCACATATAAGTATCCAGTTTGAGTAAGTCCACCTGTTAGACAATCCACCTGTCCATCAACCCATCCTACTGACAGGTTGATGGGCCAATGAGAGTGTTAATCACTAGTCATTACACACCAGTTATTACACATTGCGGCAACTACAATAAGTTGCAGTGTGTGTTAAAAGCTGCCATTTCCACAACAAAAACATTTTTTTTTACTGCTTTATTTGTGATCTATTGAGTTTGACTCCATTATCAATATTTTAATCAATGTTTCTAACTGTTCTCTTCCTGTTTCAGGTCTGCAATTGAAGAGGGTAAAGGCATTTACAACAATATCAAAAATTTTGTGCGATTCCAGCTCAGCACGTGAGTACAGCTTGTGACAGTATGTTGTAATTTGTTAGTGCAAGTGGAACAATTTTAACTGAAATTGTAAATTTGGAAAATAAACAGTAACTTGCATTTATACATGATGTCCTTTACAAAGGGCAATGTCCTGAAGCCTTTACAGGGACGGGGTTTGTTGCCAAGCAAGGCTGGGGGGCAATAAGGACCACTTGAAAAAACGGTTTGAGAAAAATACTTTTAAATGCGTGTTAGTATTATCCTAAAAATGCTGAATATATAACATTTTTCTGCAACTCTTATTATTTTCTAGGAGTATAGCTGCTCTAACATTGATCTCCCTAGCCACATTGATGAATTTTCCCAATCCACTGAATGCTATGCAGATTTTGTGGATTAACATAATCATGGATGGACCACCAGCACAGAGGTAAGAACAGAAGACTAATGTAAAGGTAAAGGAGTCTGTGGTTTAAAATTAGACATTCCTAAAGCATTGAATAGCAATTATTCACTCTTTTACCCCTTTGCTTTCTCTTCTTCTCCCCCCCCCACCATTACACTGTTCTTAGTAATGATGTTCATGTATCTGGCTCCCACTTAAGGTTCAAGTTAGAGGAATCTCAGGTTTTGATAAACAAAAAATGGTCATGATTCTGCAAATAGTATCAAGTTCCTAAAGTTTCTACCAAGTGTTAAATTTCAAAAATGTCATGTTAACACAAGAATCTTTATTAATATAACAGATTACAAATTTGCTAAAATGGCTAAAAATAACTGATTCCTAATTGAAGCAGATTTGAAGCTGATACAGTGGAGCTGCGTTGTGCAACAACAACTTGCATTTACATTGAATTCTTCACGCCGGGTAGCAACTCTGAGTGCTTTCGAGCCAAGCAGTAGCTTGGATTCATCAAATCCCAACCTACTTTAGAACCAGGCCAAGATAACCAGTTCACCCTGCACAGTTGTCTGCCTGTATGCAGTGAATTGGGTCTTGATGTTTAATAGTGGCATGCACACACAAGTTATTCAAAAGTCGCTTTCTGTATAATAAAAGTTTTTGCGTCAATGTTCTTTTTTGAATATTTCATTGCAGTATTCTGGAATTCTAGTAAATACACGGTGGCAGTCGAATTGTTTATGCTGTATTCTTTTTAATCTAGCCTTGGAGTAGAACCTGTTGATAAAGATGTTATTAGACAACCCCCAAGAAATGTGAAGGACAGTATTCTGACCAGAAGTCTCATTGTGAAAATTCTTGTTTCTTCATTGATGATTGTTTCTGGGACATTATTCGTCTTCTGGAGAGAGGTAAGGATTGTCAACTGGATCAATGAACTGAATTCATTTTACCTGTTAGCATGAAGGAATATAGCAATATAGCAATAACGACAAATTACATTTGTATAGTTCCTTTCACGGCGGTAGGATGTCCCAAGGTGCTGTGCAGTTAGGGATTTGAATAAGTTTGGATAAAATGTACTGGTTATATTTTCCTTAAAGCAAACTAGAAATTCAAACTTAACAAAAAAAATGTTTACATTTTTTTATTTTGGGAACTCAATTCAGTTATTAGATAAGGCAGTTGAGAGGTTTTAGTCTTCTATAAACAACCCGTTTTTAAAATGACTATAAAATACAGAGTGTGTTAGCATTGATTTTGAATTGTCCATCTGGATTTCTTAGTTACAGGATAATGTCATCACACCCCGAGATACAACAATGACTTTCACCTGCTTTGTGTTCTTTGACATGTTCAATGCGTGGAGTTCCAGATCACAGGTAGGACACAAAGTGTTTGGAATTTTAATTTGAGTGTATTGATGTAGTTCAGTAACCAGGAAACAAATACGTTTTTTTTGTAATTTCATGGCTGATTTATTTTGCATTAAAATATGTACTGAAAAGCTATTGTACGGGAGGAAAAAAGTTATTTAGAGAAGCAAACAAGACTTATACGGTACTTTGCTTCTGTTTTGCTTATGAAGGTGAAAGATTGTGAGAGCATAAATAGTGAGGGAATGGTTAATAAATTGATAAGGGGTATAAACTCAAGATTGTCACTGGAAAAAATTAAAGGGCAGTTTAGAAGAAATATTTTCATGTAGAAGTTCATTAAGTTATGAAACACCTTATTACAAACGGCCATTGAAACAGACAAATATTTGAAAGAAAATTGGAAAGACACTTAAATATAATATAATAAATATAATAAAATATAGCGCCCTTCACGTGGAATAGCATCTCAGAGTGCTTAAAAGTAGTGGAGTTTGAATCCGAATCAGGGAGAGGAGGAATTGTCTGGTGACCGTAGGTACAGTCAAAGTTGAAGGTCTGGTGTGTAAACTGAAAATAAGCAAAGAGGAGGGAAGGGGGAGGGATTGAGGCAGAGAAATCCTTAGTTTCAGGACATTATAGCTGAAAGCATGGTCTCTTATGGTGGAGCGAAGAGTACCATTAATATTTAAAAGGCAAGGGCCACCTTAGCAAAGTGGGTAGTTAGCGGAGTGGGTTGTAAGCAGGTCAGAGGTAGTGGAGTGCCAGGGCATGAAGTGATTTATATGCAAGTGTGAGGAATGGTGTTTTTCAGACTGAAATGATATAAAACAAGGGAAATTGGGATTCAAGTTGTTGCCTCTGGTGGAGGTTATAGGCTCAGATCATAGGCTGATTAACTTCATGTGCTATAATTCAAATGGTCACTTGCTTTAAATCAGAGATTACTAATTTAAAACTGGCCAATTTTATCTATTTGTGAGCCTCCCTTCTCACCAAATAATTCTTTACTATTCCTCAAGAGAGAACCACATATACATACATTAAAATCTATTGCTCCATTGATTCACTGCATTAATGCTCTGAAAGGTGCCCAAATAGGTATCTGAAATATGTTTTCTGGGAACAGAATGCATCATTGAATAGTTTTGTAGGTGAGGCTCTCAGTAGACTTGGATTCAAGTGCAGATGAGTGCACGTGAATGTAAATGCAAATTATTTGTAATCTTACGAATGCAAATCCAATGCTTCACCATTTAGTAACACTTAAATGCAAATCCAAATGTGTTATGTCCAAAGTCAAATATATTTACACATGTACTGGATACTAATGTGGCATTTTCTCTTCAGTCAGAAATAAATCAACAAAAGCAATATCAACTACAAAAAGCATTATGACGTGTGTGTGTGTGTCTGTATTATGTCTGAGCACATTTAAACACAAATGCAAATGCATTTGGATTTGGACCCAAGTCTGGTAGAGGTAATGATCAAACATAAAATATATCCAAGTTAGAAATATGTCAAAGTAAATGTTCATGTATTATGATCTTAGCTCTTGGTGACCTGAAATAAATGCCTGAAATATTCTTCCTTTTCTTCCCCTCCTCTCCTGCCCTGCAAGACAAAATCTATCTTTGAAATCGGGTTGTGCAGCAACCGAATGTTTTGTTACGCCGTTCTTGGGTCCATCATGGGACAGTTGCTGGTTATTTACTTCCCACCGCTCCAGAAAGTTTTTCAGACTGAAAGCCTCAGTATTCTAGGTAAGACATTGCCCATTGGTTTAATGATCAGACCGGCCTTTTCCTTTAAGGTACCTAACTTAATGCTAACATTTAGCTATCGTGACCCGTTGATTTGACATTTGTCATTTCAGATATGAATCTCCCATTCTTTCCCTCTTTCCACCATATCTTTTATATTTCTTTGTTTTAAATATTTCTCTAATATCTTCTTAAAAGTTAATCTGGATTTTGCCTCAAGTACTGGCTTTGACAAACTACCTATACAATGGCATAGTAACTCCAACCGGTATCATAAATATTTAAAAAATTAAGAAATATTAAGATTAATCTAGAATGGTACAGAAATTTATAATGATTATATATTATGAAGTAATGTGGAATATTTTGTTGAACATGGTGTGGGCAGTATTTCAAAGCCCCACTCAATGCTGACCCCTTTATCTTAGTTATGAATATGAGATCACAAAGCTGCTTGCATTTTTCATAATGTACTAATAATGTACTCTACCTTTCTCTCTTAGATCTTCTTTTTCTAGTGGGGCTTACTTCCTCAGTTTGCATAGTCTCTGAGATCATAAAGAGGCTGGAGAGACGAAAAGAGAAAATGGGGAAGCAATCCAGGTGTTTTCTTGATGTATGATGCATATTGCATCTTGGAATTTAATAAGGCAAGATACTAGGAACCTAATGACCTAATGGTGATTTTGAAGGGGGAGGTAATTTCTAAAGCTTTACTTTGAACATTATGGCACTCATTGTAATTTAAAGGAACTAAAAAAAAATGTTGAAAATTAGGACTATGAAGTAAATCTCAATCTCAATCCATTGAGATAGCAGAATACAGCGGAATGCAGATTTTTTCCCCTGCAGACAGTTTTTGCTGCTTTAAGTGTACAGAACCGTTTGCTTTCGATTTTGGAGGAACCCTTCTGTGAATGGTTGCAGAGTAGAGTCTGCATTACACTGGACAGAATGAAGGACTTTTCCCCATTTGTTTTTCATTATTTAACAATGGTTGGTAGGTTATTTTATATATGGTGGTGTGGAGTTTTCATCAGCACAATTTAGGTGTATATATGCATCTGCCATTCCATTTTGTCCACGATGTGAACCACAAAAGTGAAATGCCTGGAGCTGTTTTATTTTTTAATGTAATATTAAATAATAAATAGCTGAATTGCTTTTGTGCTGGTTTTATTAAATTTTACAGGTCTTGACCACTATAGAAACCATGGTTTGAAATGTAGAGGTGGTTTTACATTACATCAGAAGTGTACGTATGTTTTAACAGAAAAAGTGCAAATGTGTACAGTTTTGTGTTGAATTAAGTCTGCATATGCTTGAGCATCTGATCAGTTAGTAGTCTAAATACAGAACCCACATTCTTGTTTTTTTAACGTGTGCTTTTCTTGCCATTAGTAGTTGAATGCAGATTGTGTAAAATGTGGCAATATAAACAGCATTGCTTTTTCTAAGACATGCAAACGTAACAGAATGGAAATTAAGCGGTGAATTTTCTACTGTATTTGGATGACACCATTTCTCAGGCTACTTGCTCTGTGATGGATATGTATAATGTATTTGAAAAATATAAAATTTGTAATTAAACAATCTTTGTAAAACTAATACTTCTTGTCTTTCTCGTATTGTTAACGTCCAAAGTGTAATATAAAACATGTCTATCTATACAATAAAATACTGAGGAAATATGTAAACATCAAAGAAGGATGATTAGCATAACTAGTACTGTTACTAGATAGACCCTCCTACCCCCGCCCTCCATCCCTCCTGATCCCAATCACCAGCTCAGGTGTGGATCCCTGACTGTCCAACGCTTTGGGACATCCTCCTGACGTGAAAGGTGCCATACAAATGCAAGTTGTTGTTGTTACTCTTCATGTAATGAACAATCTTATTCCATATTAATGCTTGCATTTAACATAGCACCTTCCATGTCAAGGGCATTTTAAAGTGCTTTTCTGTAAAGTGTAGTGACTATTTTGTAGTGAATGCCTAGTGTTATACAAAACCAGCAGACTTATTAAACAAAACAATTGGCGTATAATGACACATCATTTCAGCTACTCAGTTGGTGGTCCATCGAACATTCACTTTCAATATCATGTGAATACTCTTAATCATCAGCAGCAAATGTAACATTCACTGTGGCTTAAGTCATATTTATATGCTAGGATAGACATTATGTGTTTTCTCTCATACTGAGTGTTTGTGAATGGAAATCTAGCGTATTTTGAATACTACTATCCCTTTCAGTGCATATTGCAATATTTTCTAACCACTTTGTTCACTATTACCATCTCTCTTTACCTTTCTGATGAAGCTTGTAATGTTGGCCTATTTTTCCTGTATGTGTGTCTCTCCTCTGTCTGTATGTATGTGTTTGTGAGTGCGTTTCTCTGATTCACGTGCTGTGCATGTTCAGTATTTTTATTTCGGATATTTGACATTTAATTTTTCTCATTTATATTTATCGTGCTACAGGCTACAGCTTTTTATTCTGTCTTCTATATTATTTATGTATTTTCCATCAGTTTTTCTTTTGACATCTAACTGGATATTGAGTATGCACGCATCAGTTTTTAAAAATAAATCCTCAAACCTGGATCTAATTTGAATTGTTGGGAAGGAGCAATAACGTGAGAGTTCAGATACCAAATCACTGTTGCACAACTGTACACTGGTTTATTTACTCTGAAGCAGCCGAGCAGCCTGTTTAGTTTCCTTGCTGTGTTGGATTTGGAAAATATAACGTTCACTTAAGAGAAGATAATGCAAGATGGGTGCCTGACAGTAAGAAAGTTGTGGCTGCCAAAGAGCTGTTATTTAACCAAGCTAGGAGATGCAAGCCATGTTTGCCCACAAAGAAGTCACTCCACTTTTCAATATAATCCTGTGAAGTCCTTTTCAATGTCTTCCTCCTGATGCTATACCAAATGCAAAAATTATTGTGTTGCTAACAGAATAGTAACTATCACACTCCTGATGATCTGAGCCAATAGAGAAGTGCGACTGCAATTTTTCCCGCTGAACCCACCATAAACAACACCCTCCTCTATAAACAACCTTCTCCAATAAAACCTAAAAAAATTAAGTTTCTTCATCGCCAGAGTCTCTGTGCGCTGCTGTCGGCTGTTTACTCAACTCCATTGGGGGCGGAGTGGCTTCGAATGCACACGCACGGTGTTTTTGAGATGGTGTGTGTGTGTCTCTCCTGACTATATGTGTGAATGTATCTTTCCTGTCTGTGTATGTGAGTGTGTTTCCTGTCTGTATGTGTCTCCTCTGTCTATGTATGTGTGAGAGTATCTCTCCTCTGAATGTATGTGTGAGTGTGTCTCCTGTCTGTGTCTGTGTGTGTAAAAACTTAAATCAGTGCCAGGGGTGGGTTGGATTGTCGGAGGTTACGTCCTTTAGATGAGACATTAAACAGGTCCCACCCGCCTCTTTAGGAGGGCGTTAAAGATCCACTGGCACTATTCACAAACGGAAGGGAGTTTTTCCTGGTGTCCTGGCCAACAATCCCCCAAGAGTTGTGTGCAATTGGCTGCTGCGTTTCACCTATAACATATACAGTCAATCCACTTTACAGAGTATCCTGTGAAGTTCTTTGAGACGCCTCAATGAAGTGATAAAGCACTATATCAAATGCAAGGATTACTGTACTTTACTCCAGCACAAAATGGATACCCAAATATTACATTACAAAAATCTTTATTTTGAAAATGCAATAATTTTACTAATTTATCATGTATCAAATTCAGTTACATTTTTCCTCAAACAGTATTAATTACAACATTCCTTCAATTAAATTCAAACATTTTCAACGATTATGCAATACCACATTGGAGATCAACTTATGATGATATTTTTGCTGGATTAGTTTACAGTAGGTAATAATGGAATACAAAATGGGCCAATGTGGAACATTAACTCAAAACAAGTCAATAATCAAAAACTCCAGAGATGAAGTGAGTTGACATAGCAATTTGTTTTGAATGCTAAGATATTTATATGTGTGAACTGCCATTCGAAAGTTTGAGCTCTCTGCTGGCACAAAAAACAGGAGCAAAGCTACCTAATTTTCTGTCACATCTCCAAGGCTCTACTGATTGAATCCTCCCCAAAAATTCAAACAGTTGTGTAAATATGTGAACATCTTAACATCATTGTGATATGAACAGTAGTAAATACATCTGGACATGCAATAATGTGATACTTGTGTTAAACTAGTTAGATTTCTTCTAACCAGAACTCAGAATAGAGACAAAATTGAATAACTGCTTCCTTTTATTGACTTTAGGATGTATAACAAGCTTGAAATTAGGGAGAATTAAAACCTGATCTAAGAGAGGTGTGCAAATTGCAGATTGAATTTTCTCCCTCCAGGCTTTTTAAAAACAAATCAGTGAAGTCTCATGTATATAAAAATTCCGAGACTCTTGTTTACCGTTCTATTTCTGTTTGGTTTTCATTACCTTGCATAGCTTCAGGTGGTATTGTCGGAAGGATGACAATTGAATCCCAAACCACTGATTGCTGAATGGGAGCACTGCCATTGTTTTAACAAACTGGTAGCTGGACGTCGTGATTCAATGATAAACTCCCCACAATTTCTAAACTCAAGACTAAAAATTAACTACATCCCTGATTGACTTTTTTNGTTATTTCAGTGAACAAAATCAGACACAAAATACATCATGAAATTCCTGATTTTAAAATCCACAACATTTTACAGGCCATAATTTTGAAAGGAGTGTGTATTAGAATTTGTGGCAATTGGACAAATTTCCTATGACTGAAAGCAGCAAAACTACTTGTTGGGGAAAAGGCAATGGGTATTTGAGACCAAGAGCTGAAAATGTTTTCTGAAGCTGTATTTTCATCTAGCTTTTCTCAGCCTGGAATTCTTAAGACTGTAATTAGATGCGAGGTAAACAGCTACTTTAATTTGGTAAAATAAAAAGCCTGCAATTATTTCAATTACATAAGCTGCACTATTCTAGTTACTTATAGCCACTTGGTGACTTCAAATGTTAATCAGTCCAGACCATTAAGGTGACTTTGGTATACCCATCTCTGGTTGTTATGATCCCTCTGATTTGTCAAATAAACTCAACATTGAGACCCAGTTTTTCCTATTGATTTTTACCCCTATGAAGTAGTAAAAGGCTAATAGGTTGACTATTTGGGTTCTTAGAGGGGGGATTCACGGGTGCTCGGGGCTGATTGGGGGGAGATGAGCGGTATAAAAGGTGGGTGGGGGGGCTATAGAGTGGGAGGGAGTGTTTGAGCATCGGAGTTTGGCTAACACTACTAACAACTCTGAAAACTCCGACCCTCAGGGCCTGACACAAGTTTTAAAATCAAGTAAAGTCTTTTTATTTGTTACTGGGGTCCCAAGTGTTGAGGCTCAATGGTTACGTATTTTAGTTTAGATTGTAGTTATAGAGTTTGTTATATTTGTAGTGATTGTTCCAAAAGCAGGCATAAGTTTATATTTAATTGTACAAAATGAATAAACACAAAAGATTTTATAGAAAGCTAAGTGTTGAGTGTGGTTTGTCAGGTCGCTCTGACCGGCCACGTATCTTCGACAAAATGGAGGTGTTATTCTCCCCTAGAGCACAAGAGTACCGTGTACCGATACAGCGATCACTGAAGCAACACAGCTCCTGATATAACAATCCATTAAACCGAATCAACAAACTAGTACACACAAATGTTTTTCCCCCATGACTGTATTGCAATCTGCAATCAAGCCAAAATGGTGACAGCGAGTAAGAGGGAGGTTGTCACTGCAAGTGAAGCTGCAAATTGTTAAAAGATTTAGAGGAGAAAAACAAATCTCAGGCAGTGATCTGCAAAGAACTTGGACTACCGAAAAGCACAGTTGCAACTGTGTCGGCAAATCGAGAGAAAACTAGAGAATCTGTTGTGCATGGGGGAATGCGGGCAGGTAGGAAAAGGATCTGTGGGCCAGATCAATTCCTGAGCAGCTTTATATGTAATTCTTTATGTATCGTAAAATCACATAAATCTTGTTTTCCCTCAAAATATAAGAATTTTAAAAACAACTATTTAAAAAATCTACCCAACAATCTGCATTTGGATTTGCCGCTATAACAAAAATGTACATTTATATCTTGCCTTTCAAGCCGAGAAGAAATCTCAAAAGCAATTATTCAAACTAACAAGAGTTCCATTTGGGTCGGGTGAGAGGGTCAAGAAGATGTTTCTTAAGGGTGAGGTTTGAAGCTGCGAAAGAGGGGGCAAGGTGGGGGATGGAGTTCACATGGGGGGGAGGGGGGGGGAGGGGAGACAATTGGACGGACATTGTTTGCCGAGCGGAGGGATTGACCAGGGAAGTAGGGTCGCAGGAGATTGTAGAGCTCCAGGTGATGCTGTGCTATAAAGCAATCTAGCTCAATTCATTTGTAAATTTAGTTCAAATCCTCAGTGTTCAAGGCTGCAAATCGGTTATTTGCATCATGCCAATCAGAGTCTTCCACACTATTCTTACCTAATAGAGATACAGCTAAAGCAGTTGCTTGTTTTCCCTTTGATTTCTTAGATTTTCTTTTCTTTTGAAAGAATCCTCCAGGTACAGTGGCAGTTACTGTGCAGAGAAGCGAGTGGTAAATCTGATGTGCAGTTGGAGATTCTTTCAACAGATGATCAGCAGAAACTAATTTCAGCTCATAGTATGTGAAATGAACCCGGGTCCCACTGTATAGTCTTTTGAGGATGAAGGGGGAAAAAAAGCAGATATTAGGAGAGAATCAAGTTGGTGTTGCACAAAAAAGTACAATAAACTTTGGTGGTTAAAAAGTACACATGTATATAGTAGTGTACTTGACCGGTAGGCCAGAGATTTTAGGTTCTTGCTATGACAGTTGTGTAATTCAAATTTTAAAAAATTAGGAGTTGAGCTATTAGCACCACAGAAAATGCCACAGCTGTCCCAAATTACGATAACTTTCAAAACCAGGAATGCATAATAAATCTCATGATTAAAAAAAATGAAGGTATGTTTTGTTTCCCACAGAAGAGTAACTTACACATCATTATCACCTACTGCAGTCAAATGGAAACTTTAAAATAGGGGTTTTCTTGTTACTTAAAATTTGAGACGATTAGAAGTCTTTGCCAGGTGTTGCCATACCACACACTTACCGAATTCTTTGTAAACATTACAACTGGAAGGGAAGGGGGTGAACAGTCGATGTGAAATTCATGTTAGAAGTGCAAATGGCCATGTTTTTTTATTGTGCAGTTCCCGACAATACCCAGTTTACATTTCCTTACCGTGTAAGATCTGGTTCTGGAAAAGGGCAGCCTAGCAGCTGGTTCAGGTAGATCCCCATTAGAAGACAACTCTGCCACTGACAAAAGATATGGGCCACGTCTACATCCAGGTTTCGTGTCCTTGGTTTCAGATGAGACAATCTGTCATACACCATCTGAACACCACATTCCAAAGTGCCGCTGCTATCTGTTAACACACGAAGCCGTGATGTTAGTGCATCATTTTGAACCTCAACAAAATGCAACTCTCACATTACACTGAAGCTTACGAATATATGCGTTTTTACAACTTGCGCTTCTGCTTACGTAATGTCACTGGAATGTCTCATTAAATAGTTTCAAATCCAGAATTCTGTTCTGACTGTAAAGCAGACAATATATTGCTCAGGTCAAGTGGCTTAACAATCATAGTCGAGGCTGACACTTCAGTACAAAGCTGGGGGAATAGTGCATTGTTGGAGATATTGTCCTTTTGATGAGACATTAACCCATGGTCACGTTTGCCTGTTCAGGTGGATGTTAAAAATAGCAATATTTGAAATTAGAAGGGAGTATCTCCCGGTGTTCAGGCCAACTACAACCCAATTTTAAAAAAANTGGTTGTTTGTGGACATTGCTGTATACAAATTTGCTGCATTCACTGCACTTCACAGAAAATGTTGTGAAGTACTTTCAAACATTTCAACACAAATCAAATAAAATAGTTAAGAAATAGCAATTTTGAAAGACATGTGGAATACTATATAAAAAAATCACTCGTTACCTTTTTTCTTTTAACATTTAACATATGCTATAATTTAAAAAAGTGAACAGTAAAATGTCAAGTATTTCAATGTCATTTCTTAGAATTTACCTTTTAATACTTCTATAACTGCCTCTTTATAACATACAAGAAACATCTCTACTTCCTAGTGAAGAATCCTCTAATACAAAAACTGATATTTATACAAATGCAGCACATTCTCTCTAAAAGCATTCAACACTAGATATGCTATAAATCTGCACCTTAGAATATATAATTTTGTTCTCTCCCTTTTCGTTTTGGAAGATTATTTCCCAGAACCACGTTGAGACACACAAACAGCATTTAGTCAGTAACTAAACTATAGCAGATAAACAGTTAACCTTCTAACAATCCTGGTTTTGAATCGAATTGAAATATCAGAATTATAGGTTGACTTATCCTCTTACATTTTCTAATTTGGCCCAGACAGTCTTGACTATGATCACAAACTTACTACTTACTATGTGTAAAGAAACTGAAGGCAAAAACACCAAATCCACAGTGCTGCACAAGTATACGTACTCATGTACTTCAGCATTAGACTGGTTTACAATAAACTAAACCTAGGCATTAAACCTTTTTTCCTGCTACATTTTACCTGCTTCACATATCATTTTATGCAATTCTCCAGTCATAAAGCAAAGCAGCAGAGCCTGGAGGTGAAATAATGTTACTCTGGGTTCAGCATGCGTCATCCAATAGCAGGTTATGATAACAGGTAATTGCAAATGAGCTGGTAAGGGCAGGACATCAGGTTTCACTTCAAGAGCCTCCAAGAGATAGCTGGCTTTGACAGATGCAGAAATCTGCAAGATACCAAATGCAATCAAGACATGAAAACAAATCAATCCTTTTGTAATTTTTCACACTTGATACAGCTCATTTACGATTGCTATTTGGACAACATAAAATTTATTCCAAATCAATTTTTCTCATGCTTTTCCTGAAACCATTTGACCTTTTTTCCCCTTTTTATTAGGGATAGTTCCTGGTACATGGTCAAGTTGCCATTATACCTTTGAGATCCTCTAATATTGGGGATTGGCAGACTATTTGATCATCACTGGCAATCAAGAGTAGCAACCCTGACGACTTCCCATTTCTCCCCACCCTTAACCCAGGGCAATTATGGAACCTGACTGAGATCATCACACATTGGAAATTAAATCTGGAATTTTCCCGAGTCAGATGTTCACTGTACCTGACTGAGATCATCACACACTGGAAATTAAATCTGGAATTTTCCCGAGTCAGATGTTCACTGTATACATCTAAACCATCTTATTAGTAGCTACAAGTCATGTGCAATTTATATTTAAAACTTACCTCCGGTAGTTGGTTCAGTGAATATCTTCCAGGTTTTGCTTGAATGGTGTTTTTTTTCAGGGATTGTTCATGCCTATCAAATTCCTCCACATAAAACATTTTACACTGTTTTTCAGCAACTGAGTTTGTCTTCCCTGACTCTGCACTAGAGAAATTAAATGTAGAATCTGGAGAAATCTCATTGCTATTTAACAACAGTCCATACATAACATTGCGAATATGCAATGAACAATTATGACTACTTGGCCTGCGCGTGTTCTCCACTTGAGAAGGCAGAAAAACACCTCGCATGACTAAGCAGTCACTAATAAATGGGGCCATGTTGCCATTCATCAGAGTAACTATCAGCCACTCTGGAACTTTGCTGGCCAACGCAGCTGGAACATGGGAGAACCCCATTTTACCACTCTGAAAGAATACCGCAAGATCTACTTCTGACTCAGTGTAGTCCTCCATAAGAACAGGGAGACATTTTCGAAGTTCCTCCTGATCCTTTTCGTTGAAATACTTCAGAATGATTTCAATTACAGCCTTTGGCTCTGCAAATCCTGAGAGCCATTTTAGGAGTCCATGGATGCGGATGTGTTTTCTTCCACTTGAAGCAGAGCGCCCAATAGGAAAACACTCCTTACTGAAAAAAGTATCCAAAGCCAGATTCACATAATCATTGCCGATTAATACTCCAATGAGGGGGAGAAGGTCTCTATTCATATTGCTAAAATAGGTACAGAACTTTTCAATGGAGAAACACAGGGCTGGAATATAGAGGCCTGAACTGTCTTTAGAAACACTAGTGTTCTTCCATTTGAAGTTCTTTAGAGGATAATAACCAGCTTTCAAGTTAAAGATACAAAAGTCACTGTCCTGTGATAGAACAGGGCAAGCCCATTGATTAGCCAGAGTAGCTATTTCTCGGTCTGCTTCTGAGTGACACTGGACGAAAGGAACTTGCATTTGAAATAAAACTTGTTTGAACAGTTGTCCAGCAAGTATTGGCAACAATGTTCCTCCATCCCCTCTTGAAAGAGCATGGGCAATTCGGATTTTGTTTTTGGCACGTTCTTTGATCGTTTCGATCTTTTTATCTGTGCTATCTCTTCCACCATCCAAGACCACATAAGGACAAATATGACATTGAGAAAGTGCTTCAAAGAACGTGTGTATGGCATTGGTAAATAAATCATAATCACCACCATATTTAAAATCCAGGGCAGAGTCAAAGTAAAGGCGATGAAACAAGTTATTGCCATCAATGATAATTTTGGTATTTTGCAACTTGACTTTATTAAAGAACTGATGATTTTCATCAATGTAGCCCGTCAATCCATGAACACCCATGATGATGAATTGAAAGCTTCAACCTAGGTAAAAAAATAAATAGTAATCAGTATTTTGTTGGCATGTAAATACTACATATAGTACAGAAACAGCTAAAGTTGGCTTATCAGCTAAAACAATCCTAGAACCTTTCACTTTGATGTATTTGCTGAATTTTATTAATTGACATGGTATCTAAGCTACTGGAACTGAGAAAGGTTTTATACTTTTCTTTCATCCTCTTCCCCACCACCCAAACAAAAACAATCTGATCCCAGATAGATCTTTTGATGATCTTCACTCATTGCGTAGAAGTGTTTAGGATTCTTTAGATTCCTCTTTTATAGCCCAAGAAGTGTCAGGCACTGCATGGGGAAGATGCAATTATAATATAGTATCCCCCATCCTACCAATTTATGGCACATCTTAATGGTCTAACAAAGCATGCACATTATTTTATAACCCTAACATTTCATGTAGCACTTTTAACATTGAGTGTCTCAAAGCACTTCACAAAATATACTGTAAAATTACTATTTTGTGGCTTTCAGCCATTACACCCCCAAACTATGGAATTCTGGCTCAATCCTCCGCCTTTCCCAGCTTCAACAACAACTTGAATTTATATAGCACGGCTCAAGCAGGATAGCGTCCCAGAGCACTTGGGGTGATCTTCAGAACACTCCTGAAGACCTTCCTGTTCAACCGTGCTGTACATCTCCCCCTTCTCCCCAGCTCGGTGTCAAGCTCCACCACTGTTAAGTGGTCCGAGACACTACCCCAGATGAAGGGTGCTAAATATTGCAAGTTGTAGTTAACTAAGAATCTTTGCATTTTATAAAGTGCCTTATGTGGATGTCAAATCAAAGCACTTAATAGGATTTACAGTAATAACTGATTTGTAGGTAAATGGGCATTCAATTTGTACACAACAATGTCCCAACAACAAAAACAACTTGCTTTTATATAACATCATTCATGCAGGGTAGCAGCTTGAAGCACTCAAACCGGCAATGAAGCAAATGACCAATTTTATCTGGAGGATTATTGGTCAGGTAACCGGGAGAAAGTGTCATAGAATTTTTAACAACCAACTGAACAGGTGTCTGTCCCCTAAATGCAGGACCAATTTACATAGTGATACAATGACAGGATTTGGGGCAAAATAACAACTGCAAAATAAGAGATACCAAGATAAATCAAGGTTTTACAGTAAAACCTCATTTTAAGTGTCAAAACACTGAAGCAAAACCATTTGGATACATAATTTACAAGTAATGTGAATGGAAAACAGCTTGATTTTTCTTGCTTAGACTTGTAAAGTGTAGATCTGAAAAAATGAAAACGCTCTAAATGAAAATTTTCACTGGATATGTTTATTTTCTCTCTTTACTCCACAGTTCAATGTTTGTTTGATACAAAACAAATCCAAACATAAACAAGCAAATGGAAAGTATTCTTGCACGCCATGTTAATTGTCAGATCTTGAGCACAAACCATGTTTTTTCTACAATAGAGTACAACAGTGATCTTACAATTTATGAAGTACTATATACAGAAATAAAACTGATTTAGTGATACAATGGAGTGAAAATAACTCAACATGTTAGCAACTGTGCACAGAACAAGACATCCATGTTCTGATACAAAATAATGCAATTAACATATCTTAGCAATACTAATTGCTAATATTTTCCACCCTCTTCAAATGGATTTGTAGTCTAAATTGGGTGTGGATAGAGCAATACTGTTTAAAATCCAGTAAAATGGATAACGTTCCAATTATCTACGTGCCTTGACCATACAGTTATGAGATACTTACAAAAAATTGTGTGCACGATTGCAGCTTTTCACAGAATTTTTAAAAATTCTCTTTTGCTCTATCACTTTAATAATAATCCTTGCATTTGATATAGCGCTTTTCACGTCTTTTGACGTCCCAAAGCGCTTCACAGAATATACTGTAAAGTGAATTGACTGTATATTTGTGGGCGAACGTGGCAGCCAATTGCGCACAGCAATGTCCCACAAACAGTCGTGGATTGAAAATGACCAATTTATTATTGTTTTTGGTTTTGGAGGGATTATTATTAGGCTCTGTGTGGAGTAAGGAAACTTGCCCAAGGTTTCGCCCTCTGCCTGGAATTGAACTCAGATCTCTCGCTTGCAAAGCGAGTGCTCTAACCACTGAGCTACAGGACTCTGATCATACTTTTATCATATTGTAAAAACATTTCAAAAGCACTTCACAAGATTAACTGTAAATGCAGTGACATTTGTAGGCAAACAAAGTAGCCAATTTACATACAGCAACGTCCCACAAACATACATAAAGTGATTGACAAAAACTATCAGGGAGATTGTGGGCTTGGACACTGGGGGAAACCTACTTTCTTTTATCCAAAAAGTGCCTTGGGCTCTTTATATTCGCCTGCTCCCCGGCACTAAATTAGTATCAGCCTAGACTAGCCCAAATTCCCCAAAAGGGGGGCATAGCCCCACAATCTTCTAACTCAGGTGTTACCAACTGAGCAAAGTACCCTTTTTTGTCCTGAGCAATTTAGTGCAGTGAAGGCAAAGAAGTAGAGAAAAGATAGAAAGATAAGTGTTGGGAGATATAAAGAGTCACAAGAGTGTGTGACTGAGAAAGTCTGGCACAGCATGGTACAAGTGTCATAATGCTTATTGGAAGGATGTTTTCATTTTCACTGCAGTTTGGTTTTTGCATAATGTCCAATTATCAGTTAACTGTTTCTCTGCAAGGACATGCATTAGGGCAGATAATCATCCCTACTGTAAATGCAGCATATTTGCATCAGTCTAGCACACGGTTTTTAGTTTTGTGATAATAAATCTCCAGGTTTCCATGCAGTTTGCATGAGAGGGTGAATTTTTCTTGATCCTTCCAAGAGTAGAGGTTGGCAATACAGGAGAGTGCAACCTCAAGCTTCAAAACTATTATATCATACTTCCTTGAACTTTGAAAAACAATCATTATACTTGTGTGTGAAATGTGTAATGGTGTTTGCATATTTGCTAATTGTACAATTGATGATGGCAAGGGCTTTCAAAATAATTTGAGAATTAGTTAAAAAAACTTAAATATACATATTAAAGCATTTTGCCTAAGTTCCAACGCATAGTTGTATCAACATACCCAAAGACAGTAAAAATACTGTAAAAACTTAATTGTAAATTGCAACCAAGTGATCAGCAGATTAATTGACTGGATATAATCCTTAGACAGAGAAAGGGAAAGTGGATTTATTTTGTTTAATAAGCACACACAAATTCTCATCATTGAATGACTTCAACAAACAACGCACCATTGATAGATAGTTAAGTTGACTGTCCTGCTGTCTGGTTCAGCAATGAATTAAGTAAGTGTGGACCCGTAATTAACTCCTGGGCCAAAAGTTCTAACAGGTTAGAAACAATCCAAGCCAAGCTTGATCCTGGGTTATATAATTATGGTTGCATTTGTTACATACATGTGAAATTTTCAATGAACCTAATCACTTCATAAGAAACACATTAATAAGAATTACTGAAGTGTTGTTGTAAATTTGCCCTTTTGCTGCCTTCACTGTTCCTTGAGAATTTTTGTGAAATGCAATAGTACGTATGGTTTTTTTTACAAATACGAGGCTGCAAAGAACACACTGAGCACGACATTATTTAATAGCCAACCATATCAGTTAATTCCACAAACAGCCACTCCATGGCTGCTTGTGTGTCAATGCTGTGCCCAAGTTGGCTGCCACCTTTCACCCGCTTTAGTGTGTCCTGTGAAATGCTTAAGAGACTTCTCAACACCAGGTTTGTAGCGTATTCCGCAGAAAAATTGCAGCCGCACTTACTTTTCTATCGTTCCAGGTGATAGGGCACCATATCAAACGCGAGGATTATTAATTTATAACCATTGTTGATTCGGCTCTTCCCAACTCGAGTCTGGAAAGAGCAATTTGAATTAGGATAAAAATAAGGTCCTGAGTACTCTGAGCCCCCACAATGGCCAGTGGGTGGGCAGGAGGGCAGATGATAGCCATGTACCCCGGAGGCTCTCCACACCAAACCAAACTCCCCGCAGATCAAGTGGCGGTGTGTGGGGGGAGAAACGAGGTCCGAGGTCCTTTGCATAAGTTTCAGCGGCTCAACTCTCTCCGCCAACAAAACACACGTTGGATATTTACCCCAGAAACTGATTTCTCCCCGTGGCGTCTCGAGGCCGAAGCCGTCAGGAGGGGAACAGCTTCTCCTTCACCTTATCCTCGATGCTCGAGAGGTATCTCATCTCGGACAGGAGCCGCCCGGCCTCCCCCAGCCTCCCGCCGTCGAAAGCCTGCGCCACGCTCTCCGCCAGCCGCCCCAGCTCCGCCTCCAGCTGCTCGGCCACCAGGCCCACCTCGGCCTGGCCCCGGGCCTCGGCCAGCCGCTCGTTCAGCTCCAGCACGTGGGCCAGGAAAGCGGCGCTGACCCGCTCGCCTTCCCCCTCCCGCACCCCCTCCAGCTCCAGCAGGTACAGGCCGCGCGACAGCGGCCTCGACAGGGTCTGGTAGGCCGCGCTGACCAGCGCCGAGTGGCCGTGCGAGTAGTCCCGCTCCGCCTCGGCCCCGCGGCTGAAGTTGTCCGGGTGCAGGAGCCGCTGCAGCTCCTTGTAGGCCTTCTGCAACCGGGCCTGATCCAGGCGGAAGGAGCGCTCGCTGCCCAGCAGCGCGAACCAGTCCCGAGACTCGTCCGGGGGCTGTAAGGCCCCGCACGCCGGGCAGAAGAAGGGGAGACCGCTCGACCCCGCACGGGCCCCGCAGCGCCAACAGTCGGTGCCCGCGGCTTGGCCGCCGGACGTGAGAGCCCTGAGCAGTGGGAGGGCGAGGCGGGGGCGCTGCAGTCGGCTGCAGGGCGGCCCCGAGCGGAGGGCCCGGGTCCGGCGAGAGACGCGGGGAGAGGCGAGGGCCAGGGCCGCACGCAAAGCCGTTACCAGCCGCATCGTTTGAAAATTGCGGCTCGAGAGCCGGGCTCACCTCGCGCTCGTCACTGTCCGGAGAGGGTGGGGAAGGGGCGCGCGCGGGCTTCCCGTCAGCGCCTCGAGAGGGATTCCACACACGTCACAGCTCCTTTACGACAACGGCCCTCTGGAAGCCCCACAGCCACAACCTCCACAGCCACACCCCTCCCCCACAGCCACACCCCCCCACAGCCACACCCCCCCACAGCCACACCCCTCACAGCCACACCCCTCCCCCACAGCCACACCCCCTCACAGCCACACCCCCTCACAGCCACACCCCCCCACAGCCACACCCCCTCCACAGCCACACTCCTCCCCCACAGCCACACCCCCTCACAGCCACACCCCCTCCCCCACAGCCACACCCCCTCACAGCCACACCCCCCCACAGCCACACCCCCTCACAGCCACACTCCTCCCCCACAGCCACACCCCCTCACAGCCACACCCCCTCCCCCACAGCCACACCCCCTCACAGCCACACCCCCTCACAGCCACACCCCCCCTCACAGCCACACCCCCCTCACAGCCACACCCCCCCCACAGCCACACCCCCTCACAGCCACACCCCTCCCCACAGCCACACCCCCTCACAGCCACACCCCCTCCCCACAGCCCACCCCCTCACAGCCACACCCCCCTCACAGCCACACCCCTCACAGCCACACCCCCTCACGCCACACCCCCACAGCCACACCCCTCCACAGCCGCAACCCCCACAGCCACACCCCCTCACAGCCACACCACCTCCCCACAGCCACACCCCTACAGCCACACCCCTCACAGCCACACCCCTCACAGCCACACCCCTCCACAGCCCACACCCCCCTCACAGCCACACCCCTCCCCACAGCCACACCCCTCCCCACATCCGCACCCCCTCACAGCCACACCCCCCCACAGCCACACCCCTCACAGCCACACCCCCCTCCCCCACAGCCACACCCTCCCCCACAGCCACACCCCCTCACAGCCACACCCCTCCCCACAGCCACACCCCTCCCCACAGCCACACCCCTCCACAGCCGCAACCCCCACAGCCACACCCCTCCCCCACAGCCACACACCCACAGCCACACCCCTCCCCCACAGCCACACCCCTCCCCACAGCCACCCCCCCCCAGCTCACAGCCACACCCCCCAGCTCACAGCCACACCCCCCTCCAGCTCACAGCCACACCCCCCAGCTCACAGCCACACCCCCCCAGCTCACAGCCACCCCCCCCCCCAGCTCACAGCCACACCCCCCCCAGCTCACAGCCACCCCCCCCAGCTCACAGCCACACCCCCCCCCAGCTCACAGCCACCTCCCCCCAGCTCCACAGCCACACCCCCCCCCAGCTCACAGCCCACCCCCCCCAGCTCACAGCCACACCCCCCCCACTCACAGCCACACCCCCCCAGCTCACAGCCACACCCCCCCCAGCTCACAGCCACCCCCCCCCCCAGCTCACAGCCACACCCCCAGCCCACTGCTTTGTGTGAGGCTGTGTCTCCAGAGCGCAGTTTCAGACCTAAAACACACAAAATCACACACAAGTGAGTATAAACAACTCTGCACACTTGCAATTCAAACGCACCTTTTTAGAATCAGGCAGACAGAGCTGAAGTTGCAATTTTCTTCAGGTTTTTTTTCTCTGTCTTCATCCGCCTCTTCGTTTTAAGTTGCTTTTGAAGGGAAATATGTGCAACTTCTTTCCTTCCGCCCCCCCCCAAATGAAAATAAAATACATTTTTATTTATATTTATTAACTAGCTATAATTATTCCTCCTTTCTCTCAAAACGTGTGGACTCTCCGGCCCTTATTATGAGAAGAAATAAACAAAAGGTAAAACTGAATAAAGCCAATTGTGAACTTTGCTGCTTTCAAACTAAATGCGGAACCATTACCGGGATACTAAAGGCTGTAAAGAGAGATTGAACTTTTGCAGTGCATATCCTAGGATGTCCGAGCGGGACCAAGTCTGCAAATGACAAAGTTCCGACACAAAACATAATCAACAGCGCAAAAAGCATTTACAAATACTACATTGTATAATAATCCTTACATTTGATATGGAACGTTTCATGTCGGAAGGGCATCTCTAACTCCTTCACAGGATATACTGTAAAGTGTCATTTTCTAGGCAAATGTATTTCTTTTATATAATTAAAGTGAAAATGCGTTTTAAATATTAAAACTTGTTTCCATATTTCAAAATATTGGTCAAATTAGGATTACCAATCCAATGTTTGGGTTGTGAAATAAGAAATATTAGAATTGTACAAGAAGTATTTTCAATATTTATCTTCATCTAGATGTGAAATCTCAAATCAGAAATTTCAGTAAATATTCTCTCAAAATTGCCCCATATTATGCTGCTACTCCAACCTACCCCCCTGTCGAAGGTGTTGGAATGTGACCTTGCTTCCCATCTTCTCTACCACTATTCCTGTATGAGTCTCTCCCCAATTTAGATCCACCCACCCAACCACAGTATAAAATAGTTGTTTTGGGATTGTTCGGATGTCTGACATGTAGAAAGTCATCGCTATGCTTAAGAGTATCTAAACCAAGCCCATCACCCCCAATCTTTGCTCGGCTCTACTGTCAGGGCCCGGGTCCGGCGAGAGACGCGGGGAGAGGCAGGGCCAGGGCCGCACGCAAAGCCGTTACCAGCCGCATCGTTTGAAAATTGCGGCTCGAGAGCCGGGCTCACCTCGCGCTCGTCACTGTCCGGAGAGGGTGGGGAAGGGGCGCGCGCGGGCTTCCCGTCAGCGCCTCGAGAGGGATTCCACACACGTCACAGCTCCTTTACGACAACGGCCCTCTGGAAGCCCCACAGCCACAACCTCCACAGCCACACCCCTCCCCCACAGCCACACCCTCTCCCCCACAGCCACACCCCCACACAGCCACACCCCTCACAGCCACACCCCTCCCCCACAGCCACACCCCCTCACAGCCACACCCCCTCACAGCCACACCCCCCACAGCCACACCCCCACAGCCACACTCCTCCCCACAGCCACACCCCCTCACAGCCACACCCCTCCCCCACAGCCACACCCCCTCACAGCCACACCTCTCCCCCACAGCCACACCCCCTCACAGCCACACTCCTCCCCCACAGCCACACCCCTCACAGCCACACCCCTCCCCCACAGCCACACCCCTCACAGCCACACCCTCCCTCACAGCCACACCCCTCACAGCCACACCCCTCCCTCACAGCCACACCCCCCCACAGCCACACCCCCTCCCCCACAGCCACACCCCCTCACAGCACACCCCCCTCCCCCACAGCCAACCCTCTCTCACAGCCACACCCCTCCTCACAGCCACACCCCCTCACAGCCACACCCCTCACAGCCAACCCCCTCACAGCCACAGCCCCACAGCCACATCCCCTCACAGCACATCCCCTCACAGCCACACCCTCCCCACCAGCCACACCACCCCCCACAGCCACACCCCCTCACAGCCACACCCCTCCCCCACAGCCCACACCCCCTCACAGCCACACCCCCCCCACAGGCCACACCCACCACAGCCACACCCTCCACAGCCACACCCCCTCCCCCACAGCCACACCCCCTCACAGCCACACCCCCCACAGCCACACCCCCTCACAGCCACACCCCCTCCGCCCACAGCCACACCCCTCCCCCCACAGCCACACCCCCCTCACAGCCACACCCCCCCACAGCCACACCCCTCCCCCACAGCCACACCCCTCCCTCACAGCCACACCCTCCCCACAGCCACACCCCTCCCCCACAGCCACACCCCTCACAGCCACACCCCTCCCCACAGCCACACCCCCCCCTCACAGCCACCCCCCCAGCTCACAGCCACCCCCCCCCAGCTCACAGCCACACCCCCTCCAGCTCACAGCCACACCCCCCAGCTCACAGCCACACCCCCCCAGCTCACAGCCACCCCCCCCCCCAGCTCACAGCCACACCCCCCCCCCACAGCTCACAGCCACCCCCCCAGCTCACAGCCACACCCCCCCCCAGCTCACAGCCCACCCCCCCCCCAGCCTCACAGCCACACCCCCCCCCCAGCTCACAGCCACCCCCCCCAGCTCACAGCCACACCCCCCCAGCTCACAGCCACACCCCCCCCCAGCTCACAGCCACACACCCCCCCCCAGCTCACAGCCACCACCCCCCCCGCCCAGCTCACAGCACACCCCCAGCCCACTGCTTTGTGTGAGGCTGTGTCTCTAGAGCGCAGTTTCAGACCTAAAACACACAAAATCACACACAAGTGAGTATAAACAACTCTGCACACTTGCAATTCAAACGCACCTTTTTAGAATCAGGCAGACAGAGCTGAAGTTGCAACTTTCTTCAGGTTTTTTTCTCTGTCTTCATCCGCCCTTTCGTTTTAAGTTGCTTTTGAAGGGAAATATGTGCAACTTCTTTCCTTCCGCCCCCCCCCAAATGAAAATAAAATACATTTTTATTTATATTTATTAACTAGCTATAATTATTCCTCCTTTCTCTCAAAACGTGTGGACTCTCCCGGCCCTTATTATGAGAAGAAATAAACAAAAGGTAAAACTGAATAAAGCCAATTGTGAACTTTGCTGCTTTCAAACTAAATGCGGAACCATTACCGGGATACTAAAGGCTGTAAAGAGAGATTGAACTTTTGCAGTGCATATCCTAGGATGTCCGAGCGGGACCAAGTCTGCAAATGACAAAGTTCCGACACAAAACATAATCAACAGCGCAAAAAGCATTTACAAATACTACATTGTATAATAATCCTTACAATTGATATGGAACGTTTCATGTCGGAAGGGCATCTCTAACTCCTTCACAGGATATACTGTAAAGTGTCATTTTCTAGGCAAAATGTATTTCTTTTATATAATTAAAGTGAAAATGCGTTTTAAATATTAAAACTTGTTTCCATATTTCAAAATATTGGTCAAATTAGGATTACCAATCCAATGTTTGGGTTGTGAAATAAGAAATATTAGAATTGTACAAGAAGTATTTTCAATATTTATCTTCATCTAGATGTGAAATCTCAAATCAGAAATTTCAGTAAATATTCTCTCAAAATTGCCCATATTATGCTGCTACTCCAACCTACCCCCCTGTCGAAGGTGTTGGAATGTGACCTTGCTTCCCATCTTCTCTACCACTATTCCTGTATGAGTCTCTCCCCAATTTAGATCCACCCACCCAACCACAGTATAAAATAGTTGTTTTGGGATTGTTCGAATGTCTGACATGTAGAAAGTCATCGCTATGCTTAAGAGTATCTAAACCAAGCCCATCACCCCCAATCTTTGCTCGGCTCTACTGTCTCTGAAAGGATCGATTTCAAGATCCTCACCCTCAAGTACAAACCCCTTCAAGCCCTAGAACATCCCTACTTTTCCGATCTGCTCATACCCCACTCCTCTGCTTCCCCCCTCCCATCGTTTATCAACATTGGCCACCATCAGTGGTTGTGCTTTCAGCTACTATGCCCCTAGCTCCCTGCCTCAATCCTTCAGGCTTGCCCCCTTTTTAATTTATCTTTAAATCCCCTTTTTTTGGGTCAGCTGGGTGTCTGACAAGTGGAAACTTGTCAAGAGATATAAAAGATGTGCCAGGAATACACAGATTTGTAGGTGAGGACCTTGAAATGGATCTGCTGGGAACCAAAAGACTGATGAGGACTGGATTGCTGGTCGTGTGGAGTTTGGGGTGGGTGAGGTTGCAAACAGTAGTTTTGGATGAGTCGCAGCTTATGTTGGAAAAGTCTAAATGGGAGTGCTACAGCAACATTAGGTGTGAGATAGTAACAAGACGGAGGCAGGCAATGTGGTGGAGGTGAAGAATGGCAATCTTGTTGAGGGACTGGATGTGAGAAAGGAAAGCTGGGGATTGAACTGGATGCCAATGTTGTGCACAGGTTCAGAGATTGAGAGAGAGGCCAGGGAGGTTGAGGAGGACAGAGCTGGAAGGGAGGAGACAATGTGATGGGTTTCTATGTATGTTTGGTATCTACCTGACCAAAAAGTGGACTTGTGCCTAAGAGGCCAGAGTGCTTACCAACAGTGTCAGTCTAGGCTGTTTGCCCTCATTTTGCACTAATCCGCCTTGCTCACCCCAGTATCGGCGGGCAGGCCTTCCGCCACTCTGCGCAGTCCCTCCGCCACTCTGCGCAGTCCTCCGCCACTCTGCGCAGTCCTCCGCCACTCTGCGCAGTCCCTCTGCCTCGCCCCCTCCCTCGCCACCTTCAAGACCCACCTCAAAACCTTCCTCTTTGACCGTGCTTTCGATGTCCCTGTTTCCCCCCCACCCGGACCCTCAGCTCGTGTCCGTAACTCTGTCCGTCCAAGCGCCTTGGGAACGTCCTCCCGACGTGAAAGGCGCTTTACAAATGTAATTTTGTTGTTGTTGTTGTTTGTGGTGCAGTACCTGGCAGTGTGCTAAAGTGGATGCTACATGCTTACTTGACAACCAAATGAACTGCAAAGTGCTTTGCAACTGTTTCGACGGTATCGGGCGCCGCGAGTGACATTATGATTATTATTATTTTCCCAGACTATTACAAATAGTCACACGGTGATGTATTCCGTAAAGCGGTACAGAACGAACACAACCGACCCCACAGCAGTGTGCGGAACCGTGACCCAGCCACACAATCCAAGGCAAGAGCCCGCAACCACCTCCCAGCCCTGCCCGGCCCTGCCTGGCCTGGCCCTGCCCCTCCCTGCCTGGCCCTGCCCCTCCCTGCCTGGCCCTGCCCGGCCCTCCCTGCCTGGCCCTGCCCCTCACTGCCCTGCCCCCCCTGCCTGGCCCTGCCCCTCCCTGGCCTGGCCCTCCCTGCCTGGCCCGGCCCGCCTCACTGCCCTGCCCCCCCCTGGCCTGGCCCTGCCCCTCCCTGCCTGGCCCTGCCCCTCACTGCCCTGCCCCTCCCTGGCCCGGCCCCCCCTGCCTGGCCCTGCCCCTCCCTGGCCCTGCCCCTCCCTGCCTGGCCCGGCCCGGCCCGGCCTCACCCTCTGGCTCTGTGGCTGCTGTGGGGGTCTCGGCCTCAGCCGGCGGCCGCCATGGCAGTGACGTCACGGTGAAGCCGCACGGCCCCGAGGCTGGCGGCGAGCTC